CCCAAACCCAAACCCTAACCCCAAACCCCCCCAAACCCAAACCAACCCAAGCCCCCCCGAACCCAGAACCTCCCCCCCGAACCCAGAACCTAGGACCCCTATCCACTAACCCCTAAACCCAAAACCCTAAAACCCTAAACCCTAAAACCTTAAAGCCCGAATCCCGAACCCAGAACCCCTGAAATCCCCTAAACCCTAAAACCCTAATCCCCAAACCCCCGACCCTAATCCACAGGACCCGTACCCCCCATACCCAAAACTCCAACCCCAAACCCCAACCCTAAGCCCTAAGACCTAAACCCCAAACCGCCAAACCCTAAACCCTATGCCTTTGACGGTTTCTTAGAATGTTTGTGCCGAGTTAATATTACTTTTGCTCTTCCAATTTATTTGGCAATATATTTTCATTGTTTAAATTGAGAGAAATTAATTATTGGCTGTTTTGGTATTTTCAAAATTTGCAAAAGGGAAATTATTTGTCCCGATTTTGGGATGATAATTTTAGGTTGTTGAATTCAAACATGCTGGAATGATTTTTGAACAATCTTTGGGTGCATATATGCATGAACTCTAGGACAGGGAATTAGAGGAGTTTGTGTTTGAATGATCGCGCAAGATATTTCTTTTTTTTTTGGGGGGGGGGGGGGGGACCGTGCGGCACAATGTCATATTTACAATGCAGTACGATGACACTATTCTGGATTATAAACATTCCTATGTTAACAATATCAATCACACCTAGCTTGGATAAATAAGCATCAAATTAATGTTCTTGTACTAGCCTAGGCCAAAACAAAACATCAGGTTGCTCTAGGCGTTTGATTTTTATACTCTTTTCTCCTGTGCCCTTAATTTCCTGTCCCAAATCGACTGCAGTAATCAGTGAGCATAGGATGACAAACTCCTTTCCAGTCTACATATGGCGATGATTACTCACATCCTGTAAGCTTTACCAAAACCCTCCAATATCTCATGCAGGAAGGGTTTGTGTGAATAGCTTGAAGAACCCATTGTTGAAGACTCTTGAATGACCTTCCGCTGGATTGAGTGTCAGACCCAACTGTCGACTGTCTTGCAAGCAGATGCATTTGAAAGAAGAGCTCAGCAGGTCTCAGTTCTGAGAGATATAATAGATACCCATCGTTAGTCAACAATCAGCCGTGAATATTTATTAGCTAACAAATACCAGTATTGATGTAGAACAGCAACAAAAAGAGGAGATGGGGAGGAACTTGGAAGGAAAAAATGATACAAAATCTGATATCAACTGGTCGAAAATTCAAGTCTGAACTTTTACTACTATAAGGCTCTTCATATGGAGCACAAAACATTAAATGAAAATAAAAAAACAGCAAAGCCAGAAAACACAAAAATCTAACCTATAATTTCTTATATTTATCTTTAACCCCTAAATAACAATTTATAAATGTTTAATATTTCTCACAAGCTTACTTCCATTCTCCAACTGTAGTATGAAATTTAATCAACCAGACAGATCAGTTTCTAAATCGCCAAAGGATTAAAATACTATTTCTAGCTCCTCAAATTTGACCCCATTTTGGTTTTGGTCACTGAGCCTTAAAACCAGCAATTTTGATTCCCAAAATTTGATCTTACTTCGGTTTTGATCTCTGAAATTTTAAACCAGTCATTTTAGTCCCTAAAATTTGACTTCATTTTGCTCTGGCTTAAGAATTTTGATTCCTAAACCAAAACCAAAATGAGATTAAAGTTCAGAGACCAAAACCGCTTGTTTCAAATTTCAGAAACCAAAACCAAAATGAAATCAAATTTTAGGGACCAAAACCATTGGTTTCAAATTTTAGGGACCAAAACCATTGGTTTCAAATTTTAGGAAGTAAAACCAAAATAATGTCAAATTTCAGAAACTGAAGGCCATCGCAAAATATTGTAATTCAACCTTCTAGTGATGCAATTAGGTTTCAACCTAAACAAATGCTATAAGCCGGTTAATTTTCCTTGTACCAGCAACAGGTCTTTTAAGGACTACAACAATCTGCCATACAGAACAAGAAACCAAAGGAATGCAAGTATTTAGAATTCTAATTATTTATTTATATACAACAGAATCTCCTCAAACATAAACAGAATGGCTTGTTATTTTAAGAAAGCATGGATATCAAACCTGGGGGCCATGAATGCCATTCAAAGCCGAGGTTTCTGACCCAGTTCTCTTTAGAACCAAGACTAGCTTCTGCTTGAGCCAGCAATAGTCTAGCAAGAGGCAAGGGACTTATTGAATGTTCATAAACTTTGGCAAGGCTCTTAGCAGCCTGGGATAAATACAAAGAGCCATAGCACTGCCTGCCAAGCCCCATACAGATAGCACCTACACGAATGATCAAAATGGAGATAGAAATCCCTCTTGTCATGTCTGGAAAACAAGAATAAGAGCACAGAAGATGGGGGGAGCCAAAGCAGGGGACAGAAATGACTAGCAACAAAATGAATATCAAGAAAAAAGAGATAAACTTGTCTGATTAAAGGACATTTTAAAAAAATGATGGTAATATTCATAAATGAACTGCATCGTGGCATATTATGGATGCTCAAAAAATGATCCGCATCGTGGGATGTTATAATTTTTTAGATATCGCAATTTGTCCAAAATACCAGAAAAATTAATCCGCTATACAACCAAAGTAAGGTGAAATTTTTCAAAACATGGATACAGACGGAGCTGTTCCTAAAAGTGCAAAAATCCCCATTCTGTATCAGAAACACATGCTGGCTAGACATCACAGCCATGAAGATACGTGTTCAAATTTGTTCCCACTGGCAAAAAGCTTAGGAACAACATTTTATTCTGTAACACATCATAGCCACATAAATATGCTTCAATTCGGAGCCCATTTGGTAGCTTCCTATCTCTTTCCTGCCCAGGTTAACCCCCCCCCCTCACAAGTCAACAAGCTGGCTCCTACCCCTGGCTTTCTTCTAAGGGGTCAGACCCATTAGATGGGTCAATATAGAAGACAGAAGCAAGTCGAGAGTAGCGTAGATGAGTTCTAAATACAAGGCACTCTAAAGGTTTTACTTCAGAGGTAAAAATTATCAGGTAAAACTACCAACAAGGCATCAGATAAGAAATACAAACCATGACATAAATACAGGCAGCTTTCAGAATCCACCAACAAACAAGCCTGTGCCACAAGCTCTTCTGCTGAGAGTAAATCCCCATTCTGCAAGGAAATTAAACCTCTCACGAGGTTATATACAGCCATCCACATTTTCCATAAATTTCCACCCTTCTTGACACTCTCTTCAAAGTTCAAGTCTATAGCATTTGAATTGATTTTCAGCTCATATCGAGATTCCACTAGTTTGAGACAAATCCAGCCAATAAGACAATCTGTTCTGAGCTCCAAGCACCTTGTGTACTCTTTCTGGAGATTTAGAAGATCACCTTTCATGGCATAAGCACGACACAACATTAGGTGTGCAAAAAATAAGTAATCATCAGCAAGTACAATTTCAGCAGCCTTTTTAGCATGGGTGATACAGGTAACCTGGTCCCCACATCGTAAGCTAATCTCAGAAGCACAGAGTAGAAGTTGGAACTGTTGATATTGGCAAGACATTTCTGCCTTACAATATAGTTCATTAGAAAGAGCCACAAAAATTAGACGATTAATTATAACACAAAGATGATGAGGAAAGTTCTCTTCACGTGCCCTCTGAAGGTAGTTAAGAACAAGCAAGTACCGAGCATTGTGGTTCCATGGTTTTTGATGAAAGCATCTGTAATTTTGCAGGAAAAAAGTGAGATGATTATCCCGTTCAAGGACTAAAATTATAAACGAAACAACCAAAAATAACTGCACGAGATTGGCTATGAAAAAAATTGACTTTTTTTTGCGTGGTGGGATGAAAAAGTAATCACAGTACTTCTGCCGGTATCTGATAGATTTCGGATGAGTATGATACTGCTTTGTGCAAGTTGGAAAAGTCAGCTTTGAATTGTTGTTTCCAATGGCGTAGCAAGCAATTGCTCCAGCACCATGAATATCTGATGCTGATTTAAAACCTTCTTGATTTGGAAGGTCGGGATGGTCCAATTTGCAACACCTCAGAGCTGTGTGACAATTGTTTCTCTCTTTACAGGATAGCAAGAGATAACCAAGTAAATTCCTGTTTTCCACCCCAGAAAAAAATATTGCAGGAGAGATGTTATTATGCTAGCAAAACAAAAGCATGGTGAAAGAGAGAAAGGGAACAACAAGAATTAAACCCAGATAATTGGAGGTAGGTCATATTAATTTATAGTAAGAACTAATTGGAAGATGAACCATTAAGCTATTGGGCCAAGAGTGTCATAGGCTAGTGAAAGAAGAATGAAGAGGGAGCATAACAGCATTACTATAAGGCCAAGTTTGGTAGGAGGGATTGAGGGGGAGGGAATGGGATTGGAGGAGGGATTGGGTGATTTTGCCATGTTTGGTAGGAGGGATTAAAGATTACGAGAATTGAGCAATGCCACATTGGTGGGATTATACAATCCCACCTTCCCCCCGGCAATGCGTTTTAATCCTGGGACTAAAATGCGTAAAAGACAAAAATACCCATATTATAATAACGTTAAGACAAAATGTATATTTTGTTACAGGTTTGAAATATCTTATTTCAGACAGAAATATTTTGTTACAGACTTGAAATATTTTGTTTCAAATTGTTTCAGATAGGAATATTTTGATAACTGTTTAAAGTAAGATATGGATTATCTTACTTGAACTTATATTACAAAAAATTATGGTAGGAACTGTCATTTGCTTCTTATCTTTTGATCTTACATATTATTAATTTTAAAATGTATTACTAAATTTTAAGAAAATTATATTTTTAAGGACCTAGTGATAACTTTTTCTAATAAAAATTTTATAATTTTAAGGAATTATTAATAATTCGTTGGGATAAATTTTAAGGAAGTATTGATTTTTTTTAATTACTTTTTTTTTGTATATAAATTTGTTGAGATACGATGGAAAGCCATTTCTGATTTTTAAAATATTTAATCTATTATTTATTTATTTATTATTGTAAAATGAGTAAAAATTTAATGTATTTTTTTTTCAAACAATATATATGATCATGCGGTTTCCTTTTTATTAGAAGAGGAGTGCATAAGGTTGGAGTCCCAAGCTCTAAAATACCAAGAGGTATTATAGTCTTTTAATTTTATATATCTTATTATAAATAAAATAAATGCATGTATTCCTTCCACATATTACCTCCTACCAAACATAAAATACAAGCTCCATTCCCAATCCCATTACCATTACCATTCCCAACCCCATTACCATTCCCATTCCATCAAAATCAATCCCTCCTACCAAACATAGCCTAAGTTCTAGCAACTTACCCATGTGCAAGAAAGAACCCAAAACCACTGCCACACAATTGACCGTGAATCAGCAACATGACATAACAGACTAAATAAATTTAGGTTGGAAAATGTTTTACCATCATCAGCACCTATGGTGGTGGGAAATTTTTGTTTAAAAATGATGGGAAGCCACTCAAATATCCTTCAATTTAGTAATTTACATTACAGATGTGGGAAGTCTGCAATATCTGGCTCATACCAGAGCAGATACCAATTTTGCAATGGATAGACTCAGTTAGCTTTTGAATATGTCTACAGATGTGCATTGACAAGGAGTAAAATGAGTGCTTAGATAGTTAAAAGGGACTAGGATTCATATTAAACCAAGTCAATTTAACCCCAAATGGATTTTCAAATGCCGATTGTGTAGCTTGCCTGATGACAGATGTTTTGTAGCTGGCTATTCTGTTTTCTTAGGATATTTTCCACTTAATAGGTCATCTAAAAAGCAAAGAGTGTGGCTTTCACCAACCCCAACCCACCCCCCCCAAAAAAAAAAAGCGAGGAGTGTGGGTCAGGTGAAGTACGGAAATAGAATATCAGTCATGAGCCTTGCTAGCTACTAGATTAGCATGATTCCAGTCATTAGTTGAAGGCATGGGATTTCCATTGCAGCATAGTGTAATAATCAAATTGCAAGGGCTTTGGCAGCTAATTCAGTCGAACATGCTTGTACACTGTGAGAGATAGGATACCAGCTAAGATGCTGGCCAATCTTTTCACAAAAGGTTAAACTAGGGGTAAATTCCATGCCCTCCAGTTTGACAAGCGCTGTTAAAACACAAGGAGTATGGTAAAGGGCATTAAAGTAATTGAATTGTTAATTTTGTATATATTGTATTTAGGATGTGTTCGTTATTCTTTAATCCGCCCATCACAATGTGGTTGTATATAACAGAATTCATGTGTTATGTAATTACTATAATGGAATAACACGGAATGACCAGCTACTCACTCTTGACTAAAACTTTCCCAACTCTTCTTTTCTTTGTTTTCTCTGTTGTCTTTCTAAAGACTTCACCAACTTGAAGCCACACCAATCTCTCATGCAGCAACTTTATCTCCAATTGAGGACAACAACGATACTTTGGAGTTATGGCATCAAAGGCTTAGCCATCCTACTTTAGATAGTCTTGAGATTCCACTAGGACGGGTGTGCGGAGGGGAAGGGGGGGGAGATGAATCCGAGAGAGAGAGAGAGACGCAGAGGAGAGAAACAGGGAAGAGAGTGAATGGTGCAATCTGATTACTTCAATGCAAAAATGGACAAATGAGATTGAATGGGTCAGGTATATATACAGTAGGAAACTAATTCTAATGGCTATACTGCGTAACCTTTAACTAACTTTACCTACTCTATTGTTTATATTTCCATATCACTACTATATGACATAATATGAGATGTTCTATGGGCGCCCATTACACTATAATTTGATCCATGAAGACGATCATTTACTTAGCCATCTTGCTAGGCATAAATGTAACCAACAATTATTAAGAGTTTCTCAACTACCAGAACTAATTTCGTAGTCCAGTCATAAAAAAATCACCTCAGAAGATTACTGTTGGGGAACATGTGCAGAGCTTTCCTAAGGTGCATAACTCCACTCTGAACTCCAAGGAAGCATTCAGATCCATTTTTCACCTGCAACAACCACAAGTTATGTTTTCCTTTTCACTGATTACAAGACTTATCTTTTGGGGAATGGAGAAAATCAGAAAGGAGAATGGAAAAGGTAAAGAGGCTAAGAGAATTATACCAATTTACCAAGCACAACTAGGAAGTGCATCCTGGCAATTTCTTCATGAGATGTGAGAAAAGATCGACTACTTGAGACAACAGATCCAAGATGGTCATTGTGTCCATCAAGAGCATGAATAGCTGACAACACAAAACTGGCTTTTGCACTTAGAAATAACTCTTTGGGCATTTTCACAATCATAGCGATCACTGCATCCAACCCACATAGCGAGTACAATAATCTACAGATGAAACAAATGGATGTTGCCACACACGTCTTCTCCATACGAGAAAGACCTGCAGCAAGACTTCTAGCTACAGAAAGGGCCATATCATTTTCACCAAGTTGCCACAGAGAGAGAATGTATACTTGCAAACCTTCAACATCAAGCGCCCCTTGAATAACAATATATCATACAACAACATTAGCAAGAATGAAAAAAAGAACAAAAACAAAAACAAAACAAAGTACATTTTAATACAAGGTCAGCCACAAGATCCTTCAAATAAAATTGCAGCCTACAAGATCAAGTGAAAATATACCAGCACACCTTCTACATCAAAGGGCCCTGAACAACAATATATCATACAATAAACCAAGCCATACCCAAAAAATTCAAATACATTTTAATATAAGGTCAGCCACAAGATTCTTCACGCAAAACTGCAGCCTACAAGATCAAGTGAAAAGGCCCCAGATAAAGAGGCTTTCAAGGGGTAGCTCACATGTAATGACAGCAGCTGTTCACATCGTAACTTACTCTCACTCCTAGTCCACATCAGAAAGAAAAAAATTGCATAAATTAGAATTCACGGGAGTGACCTCCCAGAATTAACTAAACAAAACCTCTTCACTTTCAAAATACCAAAAAATCCCCTCATTTTAAAACTATACCAATATTTATCCATGCAACTTAGGAGAAGGAAGCTGCTTATTTTTCCACAAAGTACTTTATTTGAGATTCAAAAGTGCTTGGCCAATCTTGGGCAACAAAACATTGATTTTCTATGAGGAGGAAGGAGAAAAGCTTTTCCTTGAGAACAGTAGTTGAAGTTGAAACTTATTGAGGACAGTCATACCTCAACACAAAACCATTGTCTACCAAAATCACCTTTAATTATTTTCACCAAACCTCTATTCTAGTAAAAATTTAGTTAAAACTAGGAGATTTGATCTGGAATAAATGTGATCTATTTTCCAGATCTAGTCATTCGTTAACAATTGTGCCAAATCCCCCACCTTCTGTCCAAATTCTGTCCCCAAACCCTTACCAAATACAAAAGGTTTCTCAAATGTTATAAAATTGTTTACCAAATGATTTTATGATACACAGAACAAAATCACAAGCTGATTTTAACTGGCAGCACTAAACTCCATTTGAAAAGTAACTGCTGTCTCAGAATAAACAGAAACCCACAACCTAAATGGGCCATCATTAATATTTATAAAGGCATTCTTAACATGGTCATTAACTAGTTGACGGTCTATCAAAATGGTACCCCTGATTAACAACAGTAGTGAGTTGTTTTCTGATCTAAAGTCGTTATATACGATAAATCAAGGGTGTTTTAACTTTAAACAATTGATAAATAAATCCAACCTCTAACTGCCCTATCATCTCAAGTACCCCCCCCCCCACACACTAAGCATTCTTAAAAGCACTAAATAGAAGAATTATGTTCAAAAATATATGAGGGGACCATGCATTTAAAATAGAGAAGTCTGTGTAATTAATGCTAAATTTAGAGAGGTCAAAATGTTTTACTCTAAGAATAATATAATCAGTACTATAACAATTCAATCTTCAATTTCAACAATATGTAATTTAATTCTACAATAGAGATGATGAAATTGAAAAATTCAGATGAATAATATTATAGTTTTAACAGTTTAAAGTCTAAGTTTAATATGGAGTGGGTTGAAGGGGAAACTCCCCCCACCCCATAAAACTCTCACTTTTTGTTCTCCCTAAAACAAGGGTGGTAAAGGGAGAGAATAAGTTTCTTTTAAGAGATTATTATATTGTACACTGTTTTACCAGGGGAAAAACTACAGAAGTTTCCCCCGTCTTCTTATCTCTATCATAAATCGTCCAACCAAGGACAACGTACCTTTTTTCCATTCATTCATAGAGCAACATCTTCATATAGTATTATCATACCATTGTTTCATTTCCAATTCTACCCACCCACCCCACCTTCTAAAACTTCGAAGCACAGCCTAAATTACAGTAAAATGAACCTGAACCTTCTTTCTTCAAATGTTCACATTCTTGCAAAGCATCAGCTGTATTCCCTGCCTAAATCAGAAACAGTCAGTGTTCATTGCCAAAGAAGAAATGTTGAAATATGAAGTTTGCCTTCATATGAAATTAAGTGCAGAACGCTACTATAGAATATGTTCAAAATAAAACAAAAGACTGAAAACCTCCTAGATATTTACCTTAGAAAGTGCCCTCAGCAAATTGATTGATACATCCCTGATCTGTGAGTTTGGAACATTACATGAGCTAGTGTTCATTGCATGGCGTGCCAATCTATAAGAAGCAGCAGCAGACTGATAGTCTTTTCGAGCCTCAAATACCAACCCATTTAAATTATGGGATTCAGGATATTGAGGTGCACGCTGCACAGCCTGCTGAATAGCTCCAAAGACCTGAAAATCAAGCACAGGCTTAGCACAAATTTCAAAAGAAATCAACAGCCTTACATGAGGCGAGAAATTTTATGTAATCACCACAGCAAATTACTAATCTCTCCTATAATCTAACCTGTGAAGATGAAAGATGACCAGTGCGTAAGGCAAGCTTGGTGAGGCCAATTTGGAATTCAGCTAACTGCATTGTAATTCAAAAATCTTTTTCAAGGAAAGCAAGAAAATTTAATTACAGCACAGAAAAAGCTTGAACAAATACGAAGTATTAGTTACAACAATGACACGTGCACAGATAAAAGAATCACTCCAGCTGAGACAACGACAGGGCAGACCCCAATGCTGACCCTGATAATTGTTGCCAAGCCAATACATGGCAACGATGAGGAAACCCCAAAAAAAGTTCAGATTCTCGCAGTAGGATAATACAAAATCCAAACAACAGCACTTTGCTCATGTGAACAACCAGCAAGAGAAGAGACAGAAATTACAGGCATTATTTGTGCAGCTCGCAAACAGCTCTCAAATCCCTCAGCTGCTGCAAGCTCCCTAAAATAAGAACAAAGTAGTAAGATAATAAAGATGGAGAAAAATTCCATTCACATGCCACATAAATTGGCTATAAAAATGACGTTAGAACTATACCTTGTGTGACACTCAGCTGACATGCTTGCCCAGGGCAGAGAAAGGCCAGGATCAATGCTTCTAGCACGATCAAATATTTGCCTTGCCAATAGCTTTTCACCCTCTTTTCTATAAAGCTGAAAAATATACAATCACACAAAAGTTAAAAATTGTAAATAAGAAAGTGCTCATGTCTCAACATAACATTTTAACCGCAGAAGTGAAGGCTTGTAACAAGAAACATAACCTTTAGACTCTTACCCTCCATATGGATGGGAAGAAAAGTTGGGAGGAAAGAAAATAAAAGGAGAGAAAATGAAAAGAATAGAAAATCACCCCTTTTATTTAGATAGATGAGAGAAGACAGGGATGAATAAAATACCCTTTACCCCTATGTCAAAATATATTATGTTTAAAACCAAATTAAATTTCGCAATGAAAAAATCATATTAATATTAATATCATCAATAATCAAATAATTTAAATTTAAATATTTATAATATATTGAAGAATAACACTAAATTACTAAAAATATTTGTAGTATAATGAAGAAATTACAATTGAATATTCGTACTATTTTTATTAAGTATACATTAAAAAATATTAAAAATAAAAAAATATTTCAATATTATAAATATTAAATATTTTAATATTTTATAATTTATAATTACAATTTCACATACTCAAATATTTTTCAATCACAAGTGAGATCTAATAGGAAAATTTCGATCCCATTCAGCACAAACACGAAGCCACATGGTACTAGACAGCAAAGACGGTCATCAGCGATGGGAGGGTAAAAGATGGAAACTTGAGGCAGAGGCAGGAGGAGGAAGTCAAAGTGGAGGATTGGACAAGGTGGAAGAGAGGCAAATGGAAGGGTAAAGGAGGAATAAGAATTTTCTTCTCATTTTCTTTCCACATCCCATTTTCCCCCCTCATACAAATAGGGGAAAATTCATTTCCTCCCCCATTTTTCCTTCCTAATTTTTCCTTCCTCTCTCATTTTATCTCCATCCAAATAGTGGGTTGCAGTTTTCTTTGTTCGCCGTCCCTATCAACTTGTTATCAAAATTGATTTGACAAAACTTAAAGTGATGAAAACCACCAATAGTAAAAAAATTAACAAGATGTATTTTCAATGATGACGCAAGACCACACCTTCCCCAGATATCCCCAGGAAATAGCTGCAGATACATTCAACTGTAATCCTCTAATTAAAGCATGTTGCTTTAGGGCACTATGATCAGACACATGTGCCAATGCCACCCAGAACTCATAATTGTCACTTTCAAGCAGCAGGGCCCCCATAGACATCTTCTCTGACAGCTTCCTGCCAAAACAAATAAGTTGAGGGAGTATGAAGTAAATAGGATTAGGGAAAAAAACTCAGACATTGAAGCCATACCATGCATTTAAGTCTTGTTTGTGACCATTGTCCAGTGAGGAAATAAGATATGAACTTAATGCAATGTCTGCATAGATGTTAGCTTGCCATGGAGCCAAATGCAAGGCCCGTTGATATGAAACTCTGGCATCTCTTGCAGCAAAAGAGCAAGTCTTCTTCCATGACAAGATGGAAGCCTTGAAACCCTCCTCATCAGATTCCAACTCTTGAGCCTCATTAATCCAAGGAAAACATTTTGCGTATGCAAGCTACCGCAGGCCAAAAGCAAACAGTATATAATAATAAATAGGCAAAAAAAAAAATTCATATCCTGATGCCAGCATATTGGCACGTATTAGAAACATCAGCAACAAACATTACCTTTGAAAAATGAAAAAATAAATGGTACCTGAATATCAGCATGCAGTGTCCAAATACATGAGATATTTTTAACAATATATGTACATGTCCTAGCAAACTGAGATGCCTCCTGTGGTCAAATCAATGACGCTTCCTCAGTGTGGCCAAAATAGCTGACTCTAACAATGCCAATATTAAAATGGTCAACTTTTAAGAAAAATATGAAGAGAACAAACCTTTAATATTGAAGCTCCCCACCGATAAGCTCCACGATTAATGCAGTTTTTTCCAAACCCGAGCAGCCCAAATGCAAGTCCATATTGTGCAGACACACAATGGGGTGAGATCTCTAAAGCTTGTCGAAAGTGATCAACTCCCTTGATGTAAAATAACCCATGACAACATTTCGCACATTTTTAGATAAATTGAAGCAACTGAGCTCTAAAATAAAAATTCAACATCTTTGTCAAATAACATAAACTTTTACCCATTCTAATACATGTGTTCTCTCCTACACTTTAAATAAAAACATGTTCTTAACTATGAGGGAGTTAAGAACATGTTTTTAGAATAAATTCGGAAATTTGGATTTTAGAATAATGTGTATTCTAGAGAAATTTGGATCTTAGAATAATGTGTTTCTCTCCTGCACTTTAAAAGCCCTTGTAATTTTCTCCTTTCACCTTGCAAAAAGGAGGGGTGATCCCTAAATGAGATAGCCAACAACTATCTTAACTATGAACTATCGGCCAGAAGCGTGAGTAGTACATCTTTCTAGTACTTGGAGGACATAAGCCCAACTGAAAAACCACTATTCAAAACACCTCCTTAAGCTGGACCTATATGTTAATCATGTACAGCAGGGATGAATTCAGTATATCATCGGGTGAGATTCATAAAAATTCTTCCATTCTTTCTTCACTTCCTTTATTTGACAGGTTTCTCCGTTTTTGGCTTTTCACGATCACAGAAACTGTAAATAGCAGGGGTTTTAGTAGGTATTGGCTGAAGTGAAGGAAGGAAGGAGGTGAGGAACTTCAACGCAGAATTGTTTCACCATTTTGTTGCGGACTTGCCAGTGGATCCAACGATGCCATATATCTGAACCTACTTGTCCAAAGTCGGTGCGGAGGGTGCGCACAAAAAAGTCCATTTGGATGCATCAATTGCTATTTGAAAGGGTATATTGTCTTGCACTCTTCATCCTCTTAGGATTAATAAATTATCATCACGTCTAAGATATTAAAAATCAATATGAATAAATCAATTTGATTTAAAGAATGCATTTCTAAATGGAGACCTTGAAAAGAATGTTTACATGGAGATACCTCCAGGAATTGAAGTCAAGTGGTAACAAATTATGCAAGCTCAAAATAATCCTTCTACAGCCACAAAAATCACTAAGAGCATGATTTGACGGGCTTTTGCTATAGCCATGAAAGGGTATGGATGTGGTCAAGATCAAGCAGATCACACCTTATTCATTCACGCTTCCTCATCAGGCCCAATCACTTTTCTCATTGTGTATGTGGATGGCATAAAAATCACAAGCAATGATAAATTAGAGATGAGAAGACTTAAGTCTTATCTAGCGAAAGAATCCAAATTAAGATATTGGGTGACTTAAAATTTTCTGGGAACGGAGATAGCAAGGTCTAAGAAGGGCATTGTGGTATCTCAAAGGAAGTACGCACATGACCCACTAAAAGAAACAAGAGCGCTGGGTTGTAAACCAACTAGCACCCCTTCGGAGGCCAATTATAAAGATGGACTAATGATAGCTCATTAAGGGACACAGAAATGTAATACCTAATGATTATTCTTTTACTTTTGGAAGAATTGGGATGCACAAAAGGAAATACTCAGAGCTGAAAAACAACCAATTGGGATGGACAAAGATGCTTTCTATCTTCTTAGCAAGATTTTGGTAAGTTGTCAACAATAAAAGCAAGTGAGGATCAAGGGAAACCATATCCTGATACCACTTTATATTAAACAATGGAAGAGAAGGAGCAGGGAGAAGAAGAAGAGAGAAGGAGACAAGGGAAGAACTAGAGAGACAGTAGGACAAAGCGAGAAAAGAGGGAGAGGCTGTTGACGTCAAGATAACTCTTAAATCTTGATAGCAATTGAATTATGAGGTCTACATACAACAAATAACAATATCAACTTCAGCATACATAAAAGATGGCCTGATTAAAAGTTTAAAATAAAAGAAACCCTAATAAACTTAAAATAAAAGGAATCACTAACACAGAAAACAAATTTCATTAAAATCTTTAAACTCTTATACACCAAGTGAGGCTGAGTCTAATAAAATGTAGAAAAAGGAATATTATCCAAACAAGATCATTGATTTAATTAGTCAGCAAAAAGATTATCTAATCTATAAACTACAAGACTTCCCTACATCTACTAGGAAGTTATAAAATAAGCTAGCTTAAAAGCCCGCATACATTCAAATATAACAACAATCTTACGTAAGACTTCTCATCCTCCTCCATGTACTTCTAGTTTTCACATTGAGATACGAATAAGAAAATAAAGTCCTGGCTAAAATTTTAATACACACACACATATATATGTGTTTTTTTCCAGTGACGCTCAAAACAACAAGTGGTCATATCATTTAAACAAGGTTGAAGAAACCCATCTATCCACAATAACATGTCAAACTCTTACATCTCAATGCTCTTTGGTAAAACAGCAGCCCATTAAAACATGTTAAAGAGCATGGCAGAGCTAAACATATAATTCATCTTTTAGTCATATAATGAATGAAAATAACCAGGCAGGTTTCCTTGTGCCCCAAAATCACTCTTTCAAGCTCAACAAACTTGACTTATTTTACTTTCATCGCACAAAAATTGAGCAGACAAATTGAAAAGGAAGAATAAAATGCTGGACCAGAAAAGACAAGGAGAACTACTTACAAATAGCCAAAAGTACCTTTTCAAATGTGCCAAGAGTCAAAAAGATATTTCCACTTTCAACCAAAGCAAAGACACGAGTATTATCCAATTCCAGGGAACGGCCATAAGACTGATGGACAACCATAAATATTTAGGCAGTTGATAGACCATATTTATTGAGAGAACACAGAAGCAAGTCAAGCACAACGTACCTTAATAGCTGCAGTAAACCTGCCTAATCGCTGATAAGCAAGACCCAAAGCCTAGCGTAATTCGAAATGCTTATTAGAAATGGAAGAGTGAAAGCAGGGAAATCTAACAGAAGGCTAAAGAGATGAAATTACTTCCCACAAATCAGCACACGTAGGATAGCCTCGTAGGGCATGCTGAAGACTCTGCACGGCCTCAGTCCATTTCTCTTGATACACCTGTTAAATTATAAATAACTACTAAATGATGTTACAATTTACAAAACTTTCATGAATTGAAGAATTACACTCACCCTGTCCCATACATCACACTTGATCCCATGTGTAACTTTTTGGGTACCACAAAACTCTGTTTAGCTTTAAGAGATCGGCTAAAACAGAACTCAGGGACACAATTCTTCAGGTCATGGAAGCTAATGCAATTTAATTCAATAAGGATTTGAAGAGGATACAAGTGAAGTTTAACAATATTTGAATGAATTATTTTCCTTGCATGATGAAAATGCAGTAGCGTCTGGTCGCGAAGTGGATCTATAACTGATCAGGGCATACCTAGGTTCCAACTAAGGGAGTTCCATTGGGCCCAATTTATAGAACAAAGGGGAGTTGAACTGGTTGTTGCACCACAGAAGATGTAACAGTAATTCCGTCTAAATTAATTTTGAGAAGAGGGAGGAAGATTTCAGAAGAAGAAACCTGCAAGTAACCCAGTCTGCGGAAAGCCCAGAAAGCCTTGGGTGACTTTTCAGAAGCTTCGCGGCATATTGCCACCTCCAAATTCTCTTTTCCTCCGTCGTCAAGCAAATTGCAGAAAGCTTCCTGATATGAAAATTTCCGGCGCGAGAGTACGATATGAGTTGGAATTAATTATTTGTCTTTCCTTGTAATAGCCTAAAAGATACTAGCCCCTTACCCCAGAGTCAGAATCATCGGGATTGAGCGCAACAGCTCTCTGATAACACTTAAGCGCTCTTTGAGCATTGCCGGAAACGCAGCGATAATAATGGCCCAGAAATTTGAAAGCGTCTCCATTCTCAGGGTTCAGCTTGGCCGATATCAGAAAATGTTCGGCAGCATTTTCCATGGTTTCCTTCGCTGTTCCTTTTTCCCACAAAAATATGCCCTGTGATAACAGGTCATCGTGAGCAAGTACCATTGAATTAACAGCATGATGGAGATCAAAAACAAGGAAGTCAGAAAATAAATGCACACCATTTCAAGACGAAGCGAGGCATCATCCGGGTGAGCATCTAAGGACTCCTGCAAGCGCCTAATGAGAGCGTCCTCTTTATCATGTTCTGCCACTTCTTCCTGAAACAACATAAGTGGAGTATCTTGGATTGAAGTCAGCATACAGAGAAGCAAATACATCCAACATAAATGAGAATAGGCAAGAGATCAGGACGAGACCCCTCTGCGCGTTTGGGAATCCATAGAGGCGTCTGACGGTTCAAGGCTTATCACCCTGGCTAGTGCAAAGATACGATCTGGTCGGGGTGATTTCCAGTTCAAGTAGGGATAAAAGACAGAGTCTCAAAGTCCACGGGTAGCATTTCATTCCCCTCTTCTCTGCTTCTTCTCAAGAGTGACTCTTCCAGCACAGATTGAAAAATCAACGGGATAGCTTTGTGCTATTTCCAGCTTTGGCAGGCTTTCTTGAGCTGAAGGTTTTAGGCCCCTAGCGAGGGCGCCCCATGTTATGGCGCTTACACAGAGATTATTAAGAACCTGAATCAAGGGTTTAATGATTATCAAGGGTTAATACATCATTTCGTCTTTTGATATGTAAAACCATGTTCTTGCTTTTGGAGAATAGATTTTGGAGAGAATAGATTTTCTGAAAAAGTGATTCTGATAAAGTGAGAGTGTTTGAATAATTAATGTCAGAAGTGCTTTTTGATATGTGAAAATTACTAAAAAGGATATAAGTTTAAATGATAATTACATATAAGATATATTTCATAATATATGTTTATTTTAAGTAATAAAGTTATTAATAATATATATTTTGGCAACATAATAAATAAGGTATAAATAATATAAATAATAAACCAACTTTGTGTGTATATATAGTAATAAAATAAATAAATATGTTTTTAGGAAAATGATATATTTTGCCAAAGAAAATATTATTATTTTTTAAAGATTTGACAGATGAAATCTGATAATTTTGTTTCACAAAATTAAATAACCACACAAAAAAATTTCATATTAATTGTGTTAATAATAGAGGTTGCAACGAAATATATTTGTTCAAGTAGATTTTTTTAACAACACATTACATTATCTGAAAAGAAAAAAGAAAATAAAAAGGACATAACTATTCTTGTATGTAATGAACAATTTGATCTCTTATGGAGTCACGAAACCGAGCCATGTGAGATGAAGAATCTACTGATGAAGGTATATGTGAAGATCCAACTCCATCATCATCATTTTCTTTTGCATAAGAACCTTCTTGTTCAAACTGAATGAAATCAGGATCAGAAATGGATGTTGATCTAATGAAGTTATGTATGGCCATCGTTGCACAAACAATTTGAACCTGTGTTGAAAAGTCATAGCTCGGCATATTTCCTAAAATTGTAAACTTACTCTTCCAAACTCCAAAAGTTCTTTCGATAGTGCTCCGTAGACTTGAGTGCAAATAATTAAACGCCTCATTGTCATTTTCAAGTGCAGATGACCTTCGAAAATCAGGGAGATGGTAGTGTTCACGTCTGTAGGGACCAAGGTATCCCATGGGCGTCGGATAGCCAGCATCCACCAAATAATATTTGCCTACATGAAATATATGACTGGTGTCAATAAAATTTTTTTCCTAACAGTTAAGCATAAATAAATTGTAGGAATTTAAAATATACCTTGAGGCGAATGGGGAAAGTTCATGGAAGGAGTTGTGAGGGCGTGGTCAAATATACGAGCATCATGCGCACTACCTTCCCATCCAGCCAATACAAAAGTGAAGCACATGTCCCAATCGCAAACGGCCATTACATTTTGCGTCACTCTTCCTTTTCGGTTAATAAATTTTGTTTGCTCAGTTGCATCAACAATGCATGAAATATGCGTTCCATCAATTGCTCCAATAGCATGTTTGAAAAAGGGCCAGTATCGACCACCGGGCCGTATTTTTGTATGCAAATGCTGAAACGTTGGATCTTTTGGTTTGATGTTGGTCATAGCAAGTCTACAGCATGCCAGTAAGACATTATGAAAATGTCTACTAATTGTCTCCCCTGAATGCTGAAATCTTTCTTGCTGCATTCTACTACTAAGCGAATGGCCAACAGTATTTAAAAACATTGCAACCATTTCATGTATCCCAACATTTCTAGTTTCCCTTAGACCGTGTTGTTGCAATTATGTGCAAAGACTAAAGAACACTTCTCTTTCCATCCTAAACATGTTATAACAACGAGTAGAATGGCCTTGTAAAACGTCCCTTAGCCATGCCTTGCCTGTATAAATACTTGTATGCTGGGGCTCTTTACACAAATGAAGAGAAGCGTATCCACCAACCGTAACTGCAACTTGATTAACCCGTTTGTTCCGTCGTTTACGATACTTTTCCGCAATTTTAATTTCATCAGCCATTTTTTGTCTTGTCCTATGCACATAGACATAAAATTCAGAAACCCTGATATGAAATTACTTAACATTTAACAAGAAAATAAGTTGTTTAATTCCTACAGAAATTCAGTAGTCACATAATACAATAGTCTGGTTACATCATTCCTAAAAATAGATACAAATTATCACAGTCATCTTCTAAGCAACACAAATGAAGTCTCAATCCTTAGTTGCATGCTTCAAGAAGATCAGTAGTTTTTCCCTCTTGTTCTTCAGAGCCACATACATCTCCCTTGCAGCTGGCTTGTCCATAAGGAGTGTTGTGCACCGGCCAAACAGATCAGGATCATCAACAATTTCATCAACTTCATTAAGGTGCTCAATGACTCCCGCAATTGATGTCTCATAAGCACGTGCTTCTTCTTCTAACTTCCTAGCACGTGCTTCTGAAATCTCTTCATGTTCACGCTGAGAATCATTTTCATTTGCTTGAGCTATCCTGCTTAGTGCATCCACTATTTTCATAGTGGTAGTAGGTTTCTTCTTCATGGATTCACCCTTTTTCCTAACCCATAATGAGCTACTAGGTCGACTGCCACCTGTGCTTCTACCCCCACGAATGGTTTCCTGTCTCATTCCAGTGTTGCCTCTACTTCCTCCACTATTGTCATTGAATGTGACTGAATTAAACTCCCCGCTTATGCCAGTTGGTGCCCCCAAAATTTCATCACTATCTCCAGATCCTTTTTCCATATCATCTTCAGGAACTCCTTCGCTTGGAAGTGTCATGGAAGAAGGTGCCCATGACTGTGGTCCAGTCGCAGCCACAGACCCAAAGAGTTGAGTCAATTCAGCCCGAAATTGAAGCCCTCTTTCTGTAAATTTCTCATAGCCTGGAACTTCATGCGCATTCAACACCAAAAATATTATACATTATACAAAAAAACGTTAACATGGGAGAAAATACAAGTTCAAATAAAGTTAAATGATTACCACTATTTTCTTCTCCCACCAATCATCAGGAGCACTAACAATATTCCTTTCGGCATCTCACCCTAAACCTGTCTCACGGAGTAACCTATCCCATAACTGCCACTCCTTTCGCAAGGTATCAAATTTGTTCTTTAATTGGATTCTCGTATAAACCCTCCCAGTCTTTGCAGTAAAGTTCTCCTCAATACTTGTCCAAGCAGGCTTTGTCATGCTAGTTCCTCTTCTTCCCCCTCTTTCAACTTCTTTAATACACAGGTCAATAAAGATCTTTGTGGCTCTTATATCCCACGAAGCCTTGGTATTTTTTTTATTCATTATGCTATAAACCAATTACAACAGTTCAGTCATGACAAGTTCAACCCAAAAGGCATACCATTCAGTCCAGGAGATATGATATAACAGGTATAGTATTTAACAAGTATAGCCACATGTTCTTTTTTCTAGCAAAATGAGGTCTCATTAATAATTGACATCGCAAAATTAATGATGAATTTTTTCCCATCATTTCAGGGAGTTCTTTTCGGTTAACTGACCAAAATTTGAGTTCAACCACTAATTATACTGTTGGTTAACTGACCAAAATTTGAAACATAGAAATTGGTTAACTCATTCGTAGGATTTTGATTAGAGAAATAAAAATAATTTCATCAGCACAAGCACCCATAATCCAACCATATACACACAGAATGATCGACTGGTCTATCTCCAAAGCACAACATACAAATATGGGAAAAAAGACCCACACACATGAAACCGAGATCCAGCTACCAGAATTGCAGAACGAACAGCCACACACGACAGAACGAAACCAACATCCAAATATATGACAGTCAGCCCGAAATTAACAGCTGTGTGGGGGAAAACAAAATGAAGCCACCAATGATCCAAACTTATTGGTGAAACCACCGCTGTGTGGGGGGAAAAATCGATCGAAGGTAATTTCAAACCACCGCAGATGAGTGTGCACATATATATTACAGACCGAAATGAGACGCGAAAATCGACTGGGGGGAAAAAAGCGACCGGAGGTAATTTCAAAGCACCACAGAGCACATATATATTACAGATCGAAATGAGAGGCAAAAATCGATCGGGGGAAAAAATCGACCGAAATTTGGAAGATCGACCAGAGAATGCATAACCGGAGTTCGCGGAGGCAGCTTACCGGAGTTCTGGATATGAGAGACGGAACCGAGCAAGGTGACCTAAGACAGACTGATAGCGAAGAGATCAGAACTGGATGGCTCCAATTGGCCGAACCCAATGCACGGTGATGTCCTGGCAAGTCAAGAAAGACGTCGCCGGCGCTGATATTCCTGAGGGATGGGAAGATCTCACTGACGACACAGGACCGGAAGTGGCAGAATGGGTGGCTTTTTTCCTCTGATTCTTCTCCAATGAGAAACAGAGCAGCTCGAGATCTTCAAGTGAGCTAAACGGAGAGGGCGACTGTAATATCCTTTAAAAAAATTCAAAAAAAAAAGTAATTGAAAAATAATATAATATAATATAATATAATAATATTTTATTATATTTTAAAAAAAAGTCCAACCTTCCACCGATATTTCGGTGGAAAGTTGGAGGGGGGTGGAAAATTGGGGGGAGGGTGGAAAACGTGGGGGTTGGGTTTGAAAAAACCCCCTCCCCCAATAATTGTGTGGGGGTGTTAAATACCCCCCACAATTCATTTCCCTCCGGTAGGCGCAAGAAGAAAGAGAGAAAGAGAAGAAGAAAAGAGAGGAAGAGAGAGCTGAAGTGTGTGAGAGAAAGGAGCATACCGGTGAAGCAGAGGGCAAGCTTTAAAGATATTTTAGGTATATGAAATTATCTCTTTTCATCAAACTTTCTTCATAAATATTTCATATATATTTTATGCTTCATAATAGTAGTATTACCATAGTGATTAGAGAAAATTTTGAGATTTATATATGATCTAAGTATTGAGTTTTGACAAAAGATGACTATAGAAATTCAGAAGTAAATGAGTTGTTAATTTTAATCGGTTTAGATTTCTCTATTTGTTAGTTTTAGTATTTAAATTAATTTATATAGTTGAAAATCTATTATTTATGGGATATACCATATTTTTACCGATTAAATTTAAGTTAAATAATTTATTTGGATTGTTTGATATATTACTGAGATTTTAATCGGTTTAGTTTTCTTTATTGGGTGACTGGAGGTTTTAAAATAATTATTGTAGCTAAAAAGTCTATTATTTATGGAAATATATATATATGGTAGTTGTACCATTAAAGTTTTGATTAGATTATTTAGTTATAAATATTTGAAGTATTATTAAATTTTTGAGAGTTTGATTTTAAGTTTTAAACTGAAAAAGAGAGTTTTTAGAATTTATAACATAATAATTTTATATTTGGAAATTGTTGAAAATCCTTTTTATTAAGATAAATAATTTGGAGGTGGTAAATAAATATTTTGGCTTGTTAGAAATTTTTAAGTTGTTACTAAAATACTTAATAATTTTTGGGTTATGAGAGTTGCGGGAATTTAGAATAAAAATTTAATTAAAGTAGAAATTTAACTAATATAGAAAAGTTTGATTAATTAATTAATTAGTTTATATTAATATGTGGTTATATTAATTGTGTAGATTAATTATTGGTTGAGCAAAGGATTGACCTTGTGGTAATCCTTAGTATTGCTTTGGCGAGAGGTAACCACTTTCCACTTGTTATATGTGCTAATATGTTGTTTGTGAGTATTTTGCTGTTTTCAGAATAATATTTGATATTTGGAACTTGAGTAGATATGTTATATCTTTTGAGCTATGAAAATTGTCTCGTGGGATTTTTGGAATGGTGATTGAGAAGTTTGGAAAAGATATATGATTTATATCTTATGGATTATACTGAGAAAAGATTGAGACATTTTTATTATATTGTGAATGATTGGTTGTTATTTGGATTTTTGGATTGAGTCCTATCTACCACGTGGTAAGGCCGCCATTGGTGCACATTGGTTGGCTTCTTCTTTCGTCCCCCATAGTGAGGGATAGGCCTTTGTGGCTTCTTATTCGTCCCCAGAGTGAGGGATAGACCCATATGTTTGATTGATCTCCCAAAGTGAGGGGATAGACTTATGTGGCTTGTGTGTTGACCCCCATAGTGAGGGTTTGGATGATTGAAATTATATTTCTATGGATATGTCTATGTTTCTCGAGAATTAATAACTATCCCACTTGACACCTCACGAGCACGTGTTAGTATGTATGATGAGTTGGAAAGCTGGTTACTGAGGCATTTGTCTCACCCCGTGGTTTAACATTTTCAGGCGATAGTTCCGGTGGTGGCCCATCAGGGAAGGCTCCGGAGGCATAGTGTGCTGTCATAGCTTGTATAGCCTCCCTGCTTTTGTTCTATGTGCTGACTTGTTATATATTGCCACATAGGGTTCATCGACTATCATGATGTAAAATAATACTTTTAATTACTACTATATGGTATGCTAGGGCCGTGAGGAGGTCCGAGACATTTTAGACTTTGCGTATTACACTCATTTGATAGTGTTAACTTTTGACTAATGGGCTCTATAACTTATATTAAAATGTTTTATCAGTTCGTGTGTTTGAAAGTGTAAGTTTGGTTTGGGCTAATGGTTGAATGATATTTCTGGACTTTGAAAGTCCAAGGCCCAAGTGAGCGATGATGTGGCTCGTAATATAAGTTTATTTCTTTTAACCATGATAACGATTTTAAAATTTTAAGGTTTCTTCTTTTCTATCATGGTTAATCATTCGAATAGATTGAAAATTTTGATCTAAATGGGTTTTAAAAGAGCGGTTGTCACAGCGACGGCGATGAATGGGAGAGAAGAGGCGAAAGAACGGGTTGAATGGATCTTCACCGTGAGTTGAATGCAGAGTACCCCCGCATGCTTGTTCCCTTCACTGTGAGCTGAATGAACCGTTGGAGCCAATAATTGTCCCTCAGAAGCTACCCCCGCGTGCTTATTTGGAACCATGGTTTTGTTGGGCAAAACCAAGGTTTTGGCAGAAACCTTGGTTTTAAAAAAAATAAGGGTGCTTGGCAAATTTTTGCCAAACCATGGTTTGGCAAAAAAGCCAAACACCCCTCGTAATGTGTAATGTCATGTCTTTCCTTTGTATCCAAAAAAAAAATTTGTAATGTAATGTAATTTGGCCTTGTAATTTTAGGTTATAAATTGTTGGCAAAAAAAAAATTTCCCGTTATAAATTTTGCGCTCTCAAATTTCTTCCATTGAAAACGCTAGTGCTTTAGGTTAATAAGAAATTAAGAACCTGAATCAATCAATCAATTAAGTATGTTCTTAAAAACTTGTAATACCCAATTTGTTTAAAAATAGGTCGGATATAATATTATTTGATCCGAATATATTCAATTAATGAGATTTAAATAACATATTGATTAAAATTTGAATATATTGAATAAATGAGAAACATTATAAATAAATGAAATTTCACTTGAAAGCTTAAATGAAGAATTAATAATTAATTTTGAATTTGAATAGTGTTTTAATTGAAATTTAGATATATTGCATTAATGTGAAGCATCATAATTAAATAATATATCAATTGGAGGTTTAAATAAAAAAATAATTTAAAATTTTCATCTATTATTCATAAATTTCGCATCTCTGATTCAAGTTCTATTTAAATGAACAAAAAAATCATACTCTTATAAAAAGTAAGTCTTGAACTACAGTAGATAATATAATTTGTTAGAATTTTAAATTTAATTAAATATGTTAATCCATGCTATAATAAGAAAAATCTAATTAAATTTCTAGTTAGAGACCAAAATCTATTATTTTTGTCAAGACCAAAATAATAAGAAAAAAAAAAGCTATAAGAATGAAATATTATGTCAACCCAATTCTTAAGGGGTGTTTGGAAGCCCAATAAGCACTTTCAGAAGTATTTTTTTTCGTAAACTGAGACAAACTCCTTCACATATTTATCTTGTATATCGTAAAAACATTTCTGAAACCATGATTTTGATTTTGCCCAAATACCCCTTAATCAGTACATGAGTGTCGTGTGATGAGATCTAAACTTTCTTCAGTCAAAACAACAACAGCAGCGGGCTGATTTTAAATTAATAATTGGCTAATGACTCGTGTAAACAATTCTAAAATATACCTACTAAAAGGTTTGTTTTTTTGGATATAGGTGGAAAAGATAGGAGGATTATTTTTCTTAGAGTTAATATAATTTTTTATCCTTAAAATTTGGATCTATTTTAGTTTTGGTTTCTCAAATTTAAAATCCATAATTTTAATCCCTAAAAGTTAGTCCATCGTGGAACATTAGTGCCTAAATATGTAATGACGTTAATACCTACTGAATTGTCATAAATGGCGTTAAAGTACTAATGTCGACTCATTACATGACACATAAGTAGATCTTATGTAAGTAACATATAAGAAAAACAAAGAAAATGTATGTAAAACATAACTGTCTAACCTTATTTGTCCTCATTGTTCATTTAAGGAACTATTCATTACGCTGCATTTTAAGAACTCATCTCCCCTTGTACAATTTTTATCTACACAAGATCCAGTTACGCACCATCTAGTGAACGCACATTATCACTTTAACGTCATTCATGATAGTTCAACAGATTTTAATACCACTGTTTTTCAATAACTAGTGTTTTAAGATGGAATAAGGGGGTGTTTGGATAAAACCAAACCATAGTTTGAAGAATAGCTTTTAAGAATAGATTTTGTAAAAAAGTAATTCTAATAAAGTAAAAGTGTTTAGATTGTTATCAATAACACTTTTTTTAATGACAAATTACTAAAAAGGACATAAGTTAATATGATAATTATAAAAAAATATATTTTTATTTGAAATTCTTCTATGGTCCTTATGTAAAATCTAATTAATTAATTTGAGTAGATTAAGAATATTAGTTAAACTAGTTAATATGATTTTTTTAAGACACTCTAAGCATCTTTTTTAATTTTCTTCCTCTCTCTTCTACTTGATTATTGTTGAGAGAATATCAATAGGATTAATTTGAAAAAAATAGATGATCATATAAAACAGGCCTTATATTTAAGATCAATATTAACTCCCTAATTAGATCCTACATCAAGAATTGGAATAATAAGTTTGTTAATAGTTTTTTCCGCCAATGTAATAAATAATGTATAAAAATATATTAATTAATCGTTAATATGAGTACATATATTTATAAAATATAAAATTAAATATGTTTTTAGAAAAATCGATAATTTTTTCCAACAAAAAGTATTATTTTAAGTGGGGGAAGAACTGATCAAAAAACAAAAAGAATCAGGAGAAAGACAGAGAAATGTGAAGGCTTGGAGATCTGGCACTGATGGGGCAAAAAAAAAAAATTTGCTTATTCGTTCAAAAGCGAAAAAAATTTGCTTATGACAAAATGGTTTCATGACAAAACCATGGTTTCAAAAAATAATAGGGTGTTTGGATACTTTTAAGACTAAACCTTGGTTTGGGTTCTAAAAGTACTTTTCTTAAATTTACCAAACACGCCATAAATTTTATAGGCTAAAACCACATATTTAAAATTTGAGAAACTAAAATTAAAATGGATTCAAATGTGAAGAATAAAAAATTATATTAACCCTTCTTCTTAAAAACAAAATAACATATCAATTGTCTCATATTATGAGTCATTAGCAAACTAGAATTAAAATTAACTAAGCTGTGTTTTAACTAGAAATGGTTCAACTAATGTGTTGTGAACGGAATTGACCTTGCCAAAACTTGAAAGAAAAAATTAAGGGTTAAAAATATTATTGATCTTTACAATTTTACAAAATTTTGATTTTAGTTTTGTCATTTTAACTCGTCGGTTTTAATTTTTGTAGCTTCAAATATTTAGTTTTGATTCAAAAAATTCCATTAAGATATCGTTTGAATTTAAGGGTTAATTTTACATTTTTAACAAGTTTAGAATTTTTTTTATGCTTAAATTCAAATCAAATCCTTATAAAAATTATAAAATTAATGATTTCAAATTATAAAATTCAAAAGTCGATTAAACTTAGTTAATTAATTCAAAAATTTATCTTTTTGTCTAGTTGCAATTTAACCTCTAAATTTTAAATCCTTATACTTTTAACTTCACAATTTCATTCAATTTGTAATTAGGCCCCAATAGTCTACATCTTTTTATTAAAAGGGTGTTTGGGTGATAAAAGGGTGTTTGGGTGATAACCCAAACCATGGTTTGGGAAAAAAAATCACCCAAACACCCTTAAAAAAACAAAACCATATTTTTGACTTAAAACCATGGTTTTCAATAGTTTAAACCATGGTTTTGGGAAAAACAAAAAATTTTTACTTTTGGAAAAAAAAGAGAGTGTGAGAACCTATAGGATATGTATTTTTTTTTATAAATATTTTTTTTATAAATATATTTAATCTTATATCTTATAATATATATACATATTAATTAATTATTAATTATATTATCTTATGTATTATTAATTATGTTAATAAAATATATTATTAATAATTTTATTCCTTCAAATTAAAATATATCATAAAATATATTTTTTCTGTAATTATCATATTAACTTATATCTTTTTTAATAATTTGTACATATAAAAATGGTTCTGGTAATAACTATCCAACACTCTGACTTTTCAGAATAACTTTCTCACATAATCTAATCTATTCTCCGGGTCTCGAATGCCGATAAGCGGATGGCGTTTTGTCGCTCAGAGTATTTTAGCTTATCTTTGAACACATTCTCAACAAGGCGATATTTGTTCATGCACGGGAATCAGGGGCATGGTTTCGCTTCGTTCCCCTGTTTCTCCTCTTCCCTCTGTTTCCTCTTCTTCTTCTTGTTTCTTCGGCAGCTTCTTCTCTTTCTGTTGTGCCCCTAAACCCAGAAACGACTCGATAATCGTGCTGAAACGCCCTTCAGTTGTCAAAGCCTCGTGGCAAGAGGTTCATTCTCTTCCTTATCTACCTTTCGACACTTTTCCCTTCCCTTCATTTGACACTTTTTTTTCCTCTCTTTTAATATTCCTTTTTGAAGCTTGCTGGAGTGTTGTTGTTCTCGGCGATTCCTTTCAGTGCTGTAAAAGTTTTAGCTAATAGTCCACTAGGGCGCTCGCTTCAGAGGAGAATGCAGGCGAGAAAGAAAATTGCTCTAGATGACTCGTCCATATACAAGACTTTAGCCCAGAAGGCCAGAAAAGAGAGGTAATTCCCTGTAATCCAATTATACCTCTACTATTCCGGGGAGCGATCTGACTTGTTTAGTTTTGCCATTATAGTTGCCCAAAACACGTCTTGATGTCAAGAATGCTATTTTGTGAAAATTCTTGCGGACGAAAAAATTCAATAAACTGTTTATAACCGCAGGTCACCCAAAATCCATCCCCCTTTCACCTTCCTACGCGATGTATTCATTATTCTCACATTCTCTCTTCTCCCTCAGGCATGCATACATTTCCTGATTTGCCCTTTTCAGATTGGCCCAATTCTCCCTTTTTCTTATCCTTACGAGTTAATTCCTAATGGGTTTGGACCCATTAGATTGAAAACCATTAAAGCCGATCATTTTGCTCTTTTACAAAGATTTCTAAATTCTTAAGTCTAAGAAACTAATCTTGAGTTCCTTGAGCTTCCTTCTAGACCTCTTGGTTTTCATTTGTTGAGCAAGATGTTGACTTCCCAATTCTTCCATCTTAAAGGTCTCTTTTCTTTTTCATGAACATTTCTACAATAAAAACAGTTAACTCCAAATCCAAGTAGTTAGTCTAAACTTACTTTAGTCAATGTGCATGATATGAATATATTTGGTATATTATTAAATTTTAGTCTAACCTTACTTGAGTTCGCATTATATGAATATATTTGGCATAACATAAGAATTGTGTCATGCAAACTTTTTGTTCTATATTAGTCATCATCAACACTCAGACCCTATATCTAAAACTAATCTGTATTTATATTAAATTGATACAAACTAAGATATCTTCTCATTTTATCGAACACATTTCTCACTGTTTCTTGTGTCCCACAGCCCTTGGTATGGAGAAGATCGGCCTCATTGGCTTGGTCCTATTCCATATGATTGTCCGGATTATCTTACCGGGGAACTTCCTGGGGATTATGGATTTGACATTGCCGGGCTTGGCAAGGATCCCGTAGCTTTGGAGAAATACTTCAAGTACGCCATACTATGAATTCTGTCCATTTATGCCATTCTTCGTGTTAGAGCTGTTCCTTGTCAAGTATGATTTTCTTTTACAGCTAGATGGTGGCCATTACATCACAGTTATCCTTGTGTTCATTATTTAGCTTTGTTACAAAATAAATTGTTTTAGATGTAGAACATATGACGGGCAATAAGTCCTGTGGAGACATTCTCCAGCAATACAATGCAAAGAATATATTGTAAATAGATGATCAATCATCAGCTAAATTTTGACGAGGAAGTAACAATGTTTACTATGTTATGTCCAAAAAGGCTTTTGTTGAATGTTTGTCTTACTTTTCATTAAATAGGGGATATGAATCACTAAAGTACTGTAATATCCTATGATAGAAATTATAATGTAGATCTGATCTATCAAAAGCTGGTAGACTAAACCAATGACAGGTAGCCCATATGCCTATGTCAGTTAACTTCTAGGTGAGCTTCACTCCTGATATGTGCTAGTGACCATTCTTCATTGTCTTAGTCTGCCAAAAATAGGTAAATCAAAAATAACAGAAATTATGTGTGAACCCTTTGTCAATGTAAATAGCCCATGATCAGTTTAATCTCCTTTATCATGGAGCTTCGAGATATTGCATGCTCGTTGGGCTATGCTTGCATCAGTTGGTGCTCTGGTTCCTGAAGTACTAGACCTATTTGGGGCCTTTCACTTTGTTGAACCCATCTGGTGGCGTGTTGGTTATTCAAAGCTCAAGGTCAGTATGTCTAATCTCTGTGACCACTCTTTGTATTTTTGCAAAGTCTTGCTTATAGATCAGGTGTCTGATATCATGCATAGGTTCGTAGAATTGGATCTGTAGTTATTCTCCACTGGTTAGTCATTTCTATTTCTTAAGATCAACCCAAGGGCTAATTACGTCACTACGAAAATGTGTGAATTTGTTGAATTGAACCCATATGGTGGCATGTTCACTTTTCGAAGCACAAGATCAGCATGTCCTATCTTTGTACTCATAATTGGCAAGCTTTATCAGCCACAAGTTTGTCAAATTAAATAACAGTTAAATCCAATAACCATTTCTCTGAATCATTATTTCATGTGCTTTATTATTTCTTTTTTATTTTTAACTTTTCCTCATTATACATTGTTTTGTTAATTCAAATTGGTTGATTTATTTTGGCTCAGTGCTTGAGAATAAATTGCATCACATACTTCATCCCATCTCTTGTTCATTCATATATCCATCAGTGTTTGATTGCATACTATGTGCATTCCTATGTTAAGTACATTAGTGAAGATATCTGGAATGATATAGTTGTCTTTGTTTATCCAATATTTTTTTTACTAGGGAGATACTCTTGACTACCTTGGAATCCCGGGACTTCACTTAGCTGGAAGCCAAGGAGTGATCGTAATTGCTATTTGCCAGGCACTCCTCATGGTTATTCTTTTACACTCTATTCAAATTTTCTATTTTATGTGCCCTGCTAACATCACTTGCATTTGTCTTCTATATCTGGAATTTTGAGTCTCTGTGAATTGAGTGAATCCATAGTTGCTTTTCAAAAGTGCATTTCTTGTCATTCTCTTGGGCCCTGACTTCCATAACATTGGTGTCCTCTGGAGAAGTGCATGTTTAGCCATATTCTGACCTTTTCAATGTTTAATTCCACCTCTACCTAGAACCCCCCCCCCACCCCAAAAAAAAAAGACTCAAGTCATTATCATATATGGGGGCGTAAGCAAAAAGTTGGTAGTTGAAGTTAATTGAGCTGCTAGACTTGCTTCTGGACGGCATTTGCATTATCCTTCTATCGACAATATGGATGTGCCAGATAAACTAATTACATATAAGTAAGCAGGTTGGACCAGAATATGCTAGATATTGTGGGATTGAAGCATTGGAACCTCTGGGAATTTATCTGCCTGGCGACATAAATTATCCTGGAGGAGGATTGTTTGATCCCCTGAATCTGTCCAAAGATCCTGCAGCTTTCGAGGAGCTGAAGGTTAAAGAAATAAAAAATGGACGCTTAGCAATGATTGCCTGGTTAGGATTTTACGCTCAAGCAGCTCTGACGGGTAAAGGTCCTGTGCAGAACCTACTTGATCACGTCTCTGATCCTTTCCACAATAATCTTCTGACCGCGCTCAGCTTAGTGAATGTATTTACGTCATCCAGCTTTGTATAATTTTATATTTAATTATTGCGAGTTTCATGTACTATACAGTATACATGAATGAGTCGGATAATTAAATTTAAAAATAATTATGAAAATATTAATGTATAAATAGTAATATTAATGGAGCAAAATAGCTGCCACTAATGAAAGTCCGCCCGACTTCCTCCTTGCCAAGTCGCTTTTTGATGATTCAACCGTAGCCCTGGATCTCTATATACAAGCGACCTGATTTTCCTCCATTCAATCCGAGTAAGTGAATCAGATTTCTTAGTGTTATTCCTGTTCTTGTTGCCGTGTTTCTATAGGATCAATCGATGCATTGCTCGCATGTAATAAAACCACAATGGTGGTGGGGAAGAATAATGTGCATAGAGAATTAAGAGTATCTGTATTTTTAAAAGCGAAAGATAAGCTTTTATTGTCTACAATAACTCATTCGCTTTTGGCATGGAGGAAAGGGCATAATGTGAACTGATTCTGAAATTTTGGCTAGAAGATTGAAAGGAAAGGAGGAGGTGAGTTTTCCTGTAGTTAATGGAGAGAAATTGGCGTGCGCGGATTTGCGGAATAGGAGTCGAGTTGAACACTTGTACAGATGCATTAGTGAAGTTGGGGATGAATTGGCTAGGGGAAAATGCAGTGTTGGGAGAGACTCCAGGAGTTGGGAGAGTTCAGTTCGAAAGGGATAAGGTTGCTGCCTTGCAATTAGGTTTTGTTTGGTTTAGCAGAGGAGAGGGGAGGTTAATTAAAAGAAGGGGAGAAGAGGGGAAGAGAAGTCATGGTCTTGTTTGGTTGGAGGGGAGGAGAGAGGATAAGAGATTTCTTGTTTGGTTCATAAGAGGAGGAGAAGATAGGTAATTATAAATTGACAAATATGCCTTTATCTATATATATTTAGACTATTTTATTCTTTTATTACAATATTCATATCAAAATTATTATTTCTTAATTTATTAATTTCAAAAAAACCAATTATCTCAATTACATGTGATAAAAAATTATGATAAAAATAAAAAAATTTGGAAATATGATAAAAAGTTTAACATTCTATTTCATTAATTTTATAATTATAATACACACGGATGTGTATTAATATATATGATATGTATGTATTATATAATTATAATACACCACCTTCTATTAATGTATACAATCATATTATATTACGAAAAAAATTACTGCCATGATAAAAATATTATATTATCAAATATCATTGGTGGTTGAAAAGAGAGAAATGAGAAAAGGGTTTCTAGTAAAAGGGGCAAACTTGGAATATAGAAAAGTTGGTACAAATAATTTAGTCAATATTAGACATAATATTTTTTTCTCTCCAAAAAAACCTCAAATTTGGAGGGGAGCAAAAAGAAGGGATGAGAGCACTAAAAAACAAATTTCTTCCCTCCCCTCCCTTCTATTTTTCCCAACCAAACACACTACTCTTCTCCCCTCCCCTCTCCTCAACAACCCTCCAACCAAACAGAGACAAAAGAGATAGGGAGGGGTTGGATTAGGTGATTTGAGTTTTTTGGGCTTAAAAGAAACATTTTAATGCTTCTGACTTTAAAAAAAAAAAAGAAATAATTGTATAAGTTGATTAATTTTGTTACTGTATCAAAAAAAAAAAAGACTTAGTTGATCTTGTAGGATTCCCAAGAAATTGTTCATTCTTTTCTCTCTCAGAACTTCATTTGGGTTTAAATCCTACTGTCACCCTCTGAAATTCCCTTCTCATTTCCTTCTTTTAATTCGAGTTCATTTTTGGCAATAATGTCGTGAGGATCGGTGGGTGGGAATTATCAACTTATCAGAATATAAATAACAATAATAACAATACCGAACATTTTAATATTACAAAAATATCACGGTTACTAGTCCCAAGAAAAGAAAAACAAAGGGGAGGAGCACGGTTAGGAAGACAGAACAATACAATGAGCGAGTATAATTGATCTTACCCAAAAAATATATATATACACAATCAGTTGGTACATTGACTTTACGCACACATCATAGCAACCATTCATTTAAAAAAAATAAAATTAGATATAACTTCTTAAATCACATATAACACTAACTATTATGAAAAAAATTTCACATAAGTAAAAACTAGTATTTAAAAAGTGGTAGGTAATTTATTTCTCAATCCATGAAATTTATAAAGCATTATAAAAGATAAGGTCGGAGGAATATAAAAAGGGAGGAGGTGGGCATCAATCCTCCGCTTCAATGTTAAATATTTGGTATCTAATTTTAAAACTTCTAAAACGTTGATTTCGGCGATGTGCAAATATATATAATAATGATTGAAAGAGAAAGGCGCGAGATTTGGTGGGATAGTTTGCCGAAAGATTAACAAGAGTGAGAAGATGAAGTTGGGTGAGGCGGAGGGAGAGGAGGTTTGCCTCGGGAGATATTTTGGACGAGGACTTCTCCCATGCCCTCGCCAAGACCCTCAATCAAGCCTCCGATGAACTCAACGACGACCTGTGAAGCGAGGCGGGCCGCAGTGCCCAGCACACTGCTCTTCTCGGGGCTCTTGATTCCATTGGCTTGCAGACCGTTCACCATATTTTTGGCGCACACTGCATGCAAATGATAATCGCATGCGGTACAGCGGTACACTCGCCCCGATCTCCTCCTCTTGCACTCGCCGCATACTAAATTACCTCCAGAGTCGCTGTTTGAGGTGGCGACGGCAGGCAGGAGTTTTAAGGTGTGAGGATGGCCCGCGAACTCGATTTCCGTGGAGAGCATAGCACAGCAGGGATGCATCTGAAACCCACACGCGCCGCATATGAACGCATAACCCTTGATCTGTTTCCCACACACATCGCATTTCGATTTCGTGATTCCGCCTTTCACTGTTGAACATGATAATGATGAATAAGAGAGCGAATGAATTGAAAATTGATCAAGCTAGCAAGCTACCCACCTGGTTTTGGATGGAACAAGATGAGATGGTGGGAGTGGAAGGGATGGGCCTTGAGGGCAGGAGGAGCCAAGGCACAGAAGTCGTGCACCTGAAAATCACATTGTTGACAAGCGAACCTCTTGCCCGATCCGTACTCCTTGCAGCCTGCGCATGTGTACAGCTCAGGCTGCTCCACCTGCACCAGAGGGTGCTGTGGGTGACTCAAGCTCACTATTTCTTCTCCAAATATTGCTTCTGGGGATGTCGGGAATTCCACCCTCTCTCCTGCTTTTATCGCCACCAAATACTCCCCAGGTGATGATGATGATGATTTCTTCACCACCAGTGTTGTTGCCTTCTTCGCTGCGGCCTTTTCGCTCTTCATACTCTTCCTGCTACTTGACATCTCTCTCTCTCAGTCCTGCACCAGGTTGCCTTACATTGATGCCCAATATATCAGGCTACAAAGTTCCCTTTGTAAAGACCCATCCATCCACCTATCAAAATTCAGATTCTCCCATTGCCTTTCTCTTGTCGTTTTTTTTTTTGTTAATCATTAAATGATTTACGTAATGACTCTTGAAAAGCCAGCATCGAGAATAAGTAGGTAGGGCCCCATATTTGGTTTTGATTCTCAATCATTTCAAATATCAGCCAGAGAGGGAGTTGCAAGAAATAAAAAGAGATGCTGTTGCCACCAAAGTCAAGGTTTCTTTTGTGGGTAAGGTTTTATATTTTTCGTCCACAGAACACATGAGAATTCTAATATACGATTTGAAGAGCCTGAAAACGCAAATACAGGCTTTTGGCAATGAAAGATGAGGAAGTGCATTCCATATCTTTTTAATAATCAATAAATGGAGTCTCTTTTCCCTGAAATTTCTTTTTCTTTTGTGAGTTGCAAGCAAATATATAGTTTACGAAAGCCAAATAATGGATGCGTTTTTTTTTTCAAATCCCTTGACTAAGTGTCACTGATGCCCAATTATTTGTTTGTCTTGTAAGCGATTCCCCTTGTTTATTGTGCTTTATCTTATTTTAACGCCAAGAAACACATAAATCATACTTCGAAAAGGAAAAAAAGGAAGATATTCCTCTATCTTTAAGACTTTTGGCTCCTCTTACGTACCCCTTTTCCAATTTCCACAATAAAGCCACTGTCACTTTTCGTTACTTAGCAAATGAAACTAATGGATAAGGAGGTGTTTAATTGGTAATCACACGCGACCCCCTTCTTCACAAGAAAATCTTTATCCATTAGTTTTCTTCAGATTTCTAGTTGTATATATTACGTCTTTAATCCGCCCACAACACGCAAACGAGTTGAGTCAGTCATGCGATGCGAAGGATCAGAGGATTGGAACCGACCAGCTGAGGTGGTCATGGTAGAATGTGAGAGCAGAGAATTGGGATTCAAAAACCATTCTAATGTTAAAAAAAACACAAAAACAATTCCAAAATTTTGAATGAACTCATCAATCTATTTTCAAAGGATAGGCATACTTCCATCAATCAATTGTATCATACAAACTAGATTGTCGGACACCGCTTCATAAAAAATTTGAGATGGAGCCAGTAATATTGTTATCAATAGTTCAGATTTATAAAGATTTTATATCATATAATTTATTTTCATTTTATTAAAACACTCTCAAGTTCATAATAACACAGTTGGGGATGAAAATAGGATGGGTTAAGCATTAGCTAAATAGGTCTGACCCTACAACAAATATCTAAAATATGACCCCGAAACTGGGCCTATATTTTTTTTTTTAAGACTTGAGCCTAAACATTTAAAAGGCCTGATTAAGGCTTGAAGCAGTTTTAAATGCCTACTTAAAATGTGAGCATTTAAATAGGGTTAAAACTTTATGCCTGCAAGTTCATATATAACCCACCAAACCTATTAAAAAGTCTATATCATGTTTTGAGAGTTTAGAATTCATTTTCACTTACAATATAAGAGTTTACTAACGAAAAGAAAAAATTGCATAGTGATAACAATTGCTCAACCAAGTAGGAATAAGAAAACTAATTATTTGCTCACTAAAGGGATGTATTTTCTAAAATTAATCAAACACAAAAAGTGTCTCATAAAACTAGATTTTACCTCTTTTCGTTTTCACGCATAAACTATGACGAACTCAAATTCCTACTAAGATTATAATATTTCATTCAAGTATTACTAAAATAAATTTGCAACAATTGTTATGCTTTAATGAAAATTGCAAATCAAGGGAGAGGGGGTGAGCTAGCTTTACAATCTTGAGTGATCAAAATAAGATGTAGAGGTGAATGACTAGCAACTAAAAATGTTAATATCATGTATGAATGTTGTGATGTGAAACTTTAAATCAAGCCAACATTAGTAATTATATAAATAATTTATAAAATTAATTTAGGTTATATTGTATATAATAGTACAATTTTTTCTTTAAAAAACTAACTAGGCCAAGTCTATAGACTTGTAGGCTAACCCCTATAAAAATAGACCTAACCTGTTTGTCTAAACTGGCTTGAATATGAGTTTGCAGACCCCTGATAGTTTCACCCACAACAATAGTTTAAAAAATTAATTATTCATGTTAAAAAATAAAAAAAAATACTCAAAATTTAAAAATAATTTAATAAAAATCAATATAATAATCAATATTGATATGTAAATTTAATAATTTGTGTTATTAAAAAAGTCATATGGCTCGGTTTTAGATTTTACGGGCCAAATATATAATTATTTATTATTTAATCATCAAAATAAATAATATATTAGAGGGTTAAGGTTTTAAAATACTTATGAACTTATACCAAAAGTTTACTCATCACCATATACTTTTGCTGGAACAAACGCCATTCTAATGCAGCAAGAACAGGCATGATTGATCGGGAATTCTCAAACTGGGTGGAACAAATGGCCTTAATAGACATGGGGAGCTCAGGACCTTTCTTTACTTGAAAGAGAGAAGGATGCGAGAGCCGTATTGACCGGGTTCTAATGAATGCTCGAGCTAAAGAAAATTACTTGGATGCTGTAGTGAAGACCCTTCCCTGGTTCAAATCAGACCACAGACCTCTGCTTCTGCAAACTAGAACTCCAGGACCAACCTTCACGCATCAAAGACCGTTTCGCTTCAAAGCGTCCTGGATTCTTCACGAGGATTTTGATAGATTTATTAAGGATACATGGACTCGCAACTCGTCCTGGAAAGACAACATAACAAACTTAACAAGTGAGATTATGAAGTGGAGTAAAAACACATACGCCCACATTGGTAGGAAAAAGAGTCGAATAATGAGCAGACTCGAAGGAATAAACAAGGAGATTACGAGGAGAGGCTCCACGTCCTCCCTAGAACATCTCCAAAGAAGGTTGTGGCTCGAGCTTGAAGAGTTGCTAACCCAGGAAAATCTACTCTGGACCCAAAAAGCTAAATGTGACTAGTTTACACTCGATGATAAAAACTCACAGTACTTCCACAACCGAGCAAATAGTAGAAGAAGAAGAAACAAAATTGAAGCCATTAAAAGAGCAAATGGCAAATGGACAGACAATGTGGAGGAGATTAAGGAAATAGCGACAAGCTTCTTTATTAATCTTCTTCAAGATGAAGGAGGCCACGACTGTATCCACAATTTAAATACTTCCCTCCCTCCTATAGATCGATTGAGCTTGCAAGCGTTGAATAGAGAAGTGAATAGGGAAGAAGTCAAGAATGCAATCTTCAGCATGGGAGCCTTGAAATCGCCTGGGCCTGATGGGTATAATGCTTTGTTCTTCCAACATCAATGGCAGGTGGTTGGGGAGTCGATAACCCAAGTGATTCGTCAAGCTTTCGAAACTCTAGATCTAATTCCTCAAATCAATCATACCTTTATTGTGCTAATCCCCAAAACGAATCAACCAGAAACCATTGGAGACTTTCGACCCATCAGCCTTTGCAATGTGATATACAAAGCTATCACAAAGGTTCTTGTAAGCAGACTAAAGAGTTCACTTCCGAACATAATTTCACCTAACCAGTGTAGCTTTGTACCTGGTCGTACTAGTGTAGAAAATATAATCATTGCCCAGGAAACTATTCTCTTGATGAGGAACATGAGAGGCAAGAAAGGTTACATGGCAATAAAGATTGACCTTGAAAAAGCTTATGATCGCATCCAGTGGAGCTTCATGATGGACTACCTAGAAGAGCTTCAGATCCCTCCCAAAATCAAGAATGTCATCCACTCATGCATCTCCTCCGCCTCAATGCAGATACTCTGGGAAGGAAGTAAAGCAGATACATTCACTCCCTTAAGAGGCCTCAGGTAGGGAGACCCGCTATCCCCCTACCTGTTCGTGATTTGCATGGAGAAGCTAGCCCACATAATCCAGAGCGAGATGATGGCGGGAAAGTGGAAACCTATCAAGCTAAGTAAAAATGACCCTCCCATCTCTCATTTATTTTTTGCTGATGACTTATTAATTTTTGTAGAGGCTAGCCTAGACCAGGTGGCTGTAATCAATCTGTGCTTAAGAAGATTTTACGAAGCTTCAGGACAAAAAGTAAGCCATGCGAAGACCAAGATCTTCTTCTCAAGGAATGTGAACCATACCAGAGCAGAACAACTAAGTAAAGAATTAGGATTTACTTGCACAACAAACCTTGGGAAGTACCTGGGAATACCCCTACACCACGAGCAAGTGTCAAAAGGGACGTACAAATTCATTCTTGATAAAGTCAACCATAGACTTAGTAGCTGGAAAATTAACCAACTCTCTCTTGCAGGAAGGAGCACCTTGGTGAAAGCAGTTGTTAATGCCATCCCAACCTACGCCATGCAGAGAAGTTATATTCCGGAGAGCACGTGCGAGGAAATTGAGAGGAAAGCAAGAAACTTCTTATGGGGCTCAACTGATGAGAAACGCCGAATGCACCAAGTGGCGTGGGACACTGTTTGCTTAGAAAAGAAGAGAGGCAGACTTGGCATGAAGCATATAAAACAACACAACCGGGCTCTAATGATGAAGCTTGGGTGGGGATTAATAAAGGATCGAGACTCGCTTTGGGTGAGAGTAGTACGAAGTAAATATGGCTGTGGAAACGACCTCCTTCCGGATATCAACACTCAAAGAGCAGGCTCCAACACTTGGAAGGGGATCAAGAATAATTGGAACAAGGTTAAAATGGGTCTTGAAGAGTTCCAACAGCAAAATGGAGCCAAGATGGTTCGCTGGAAATGGGAACGCAATGGAGTTTTCTCCACGAAGTTAGCCTATCAAGCACTAAGTAATGAAGACCAACACTCAACAAGGGAGTGGGAAAAGCTATGGAAACTACGAATCCTAGAAAGGTGCAAGAACTTTGCATGGCTCATGAAGCATGAAAGATTAACCACAAATGAGAGGAAATGGCGACGGGGTCTACACCAAGATGGATACTGTGGAATGTACGCTAATGTCATTGAAAGCGAGGTCCATGCTCTTAGGGACTGTGTGGCCGCGAAAGGGTTCTGGGAGCAGGTGATCCACCCTAGATACCGAAATAAATTCTTCACGACAACCCTACAGAATTGGCTATCATTGCACATGCGAAGAAATATGGGAGTCAAAGAAAGCAACTGGGGTGAGCTCTTTATCATCTATTGCTGGCTGATTTGGCAGAGGCGTAATGATTTTGTTAATAACAGAACCACATCAGACACAGGCAGCATCACACTGAGAGCTAAAGCCATCATAGACTGCAAGAGGAAAACGCGCCAAAGACCCTTGACTACCATGTAGTGGAAGTAGATGGTGCCTTTTCACGATACCAGAACAAAGTGGCTTGCGGAGGGATCCTGAAAGGACCGGATGGGCAACTAATTGAAGGCTTCATGCTGCGGCTAGATACAGGAGATAGTCTCACAACAGAGCTTTGGGGCATATTGATGGGCCTGAAAAGAGCTTGGGAGAACAACATGAAGAACGTCAACATTCGCTCTGACTCGTGTGAAGTAGTGGAGTTAATTAGCAATCAAACCCCTGACAGCCACGACGAATGGATGCTCATCCAACAGATCAAACGCATGACCCAACGAAATTGGCAAGTAAGCTTCCAGGTCACCGATCGAATGGACAACTTGATTGCTGACAGATTAGCTAAACGTGCACTGAGCAACGCCTTGGGCCTAACAATCTATAACACATACACGCTAAGGGAAGTCATGGATGCAGATACTGGAGACTAGTAGTGTTGTTTTTCTCTTTCCTTTGTTATAAAAAAAAAACCATATACTTTTGCTGGATGCAAATCTATTTATGCATGAATAACCCCACCATTAAATTAATGCGTAGTTAGTCTTGGTGGTGGGGCTTGTGCCGTTTAAAAAAAAATAAAAATGTTTAGTTTTTCTAATTTCCTTTATTATCCTTTCTTTCTTCCTCCCTTCATCCCCATTTTCTTCCCAGATCCAATCGGCAGTGGTAGCAACGTTTTGCATGAGCAACACGGCAGCAACCAGGAGCTGCTCCTTTCTCCCTTCATCCCGTAATTACTGCTCCCTCCAGTACTTAATATAAGACCTTGTTTAATTTTTATTTTGATCCTAAATATAAAACCTCAATCCACTTTGTTTCTCATATATATTTACGTGTTTTTTCCCAATGTATTCCTTCTAATAATGGTAATTCTAACCAATACACTTGATTAGCAAGGGTATTTGAGGAAAAATAACATATATTTATTACAAATAACTAACTTAATTTATTTTCTTAATTTTATCAAATTAGTGAACTAACTTTTATAATTAGAACCGGATGTAGTAATTCACAAAAAAGATGACATTGAAGGACCTTGAGTCTCGAGAGGATCCAAGCCATTTCTCGAGTTGTTCATCATCGTCTTCTTTGGAGAACCAACAAGGATGAGATTGGAACATTGTCACGATTGAGGCACTACATATTAGAAGAGTGAGAGGCAATTTGATAAAGAAGCCATCATGTGCTCCATCCCTCTCCACACTACCCTCGTCTTCTTCTGATCTCGCTCTCTCAATCTCAGACTACTCCACGCTGCCATTCCCTTGTCCGCCCTCAACGTTACTTAATCTTCTCTAATCGGTTCTCACGCCACCCTGCTTCGCACCTTCCGCTACACTTCCCCTATGCTCTAGAGCAAAATCAGGTCGTCCAAGCTCAGGCAATGGTTTCGCCTCCTCTGTTACCCTTCTTCAAACTCTAGAGCAAATTTGTGTTGCTCGATCCCTTGCATATGCATATGGTTTTGGTAAGGTCAAGATGAATTTTATTAAGCTGTTTGGATTGTTCTGGATACCCAGTGCCTCTCATAGCTCCATTTCACTACTTTTAAGTTTCTGTTCTTAATTTCTAAGTCTTTAACTCCGATCTAATTTTTAGCTCAAACCATCTTTTGCTTTAATCTGTAAAATGTGATTAGTGTTGAATGATAATTCTAGTTAGAATTTTTCTAGTTTGTTGATGTTGATTGTGGGTTTTTTTTTTTTTTAAATCTTGGTGCGGCTTTGAGTGAAGCTTTAGATGGTGCCATGGTGGTCTTCCATGGCAATTGAGAAAATAAACCGAGATGAACACGGATGCTGAGAGAGAGAGAGCTTTTTTTTTTTTTTAAAGTTAGGGATATTTTGCTACGTTCATAACAATATTATGGGTGCCACCAGGAAAACTAATGATTGTTACATTGGATTAACAGTTGTGTCATTTTTCAGATCCCATGAAATAAAGAGGAAAGTATGACAATGGTATTGATCGATTAAATAACCAAATAAAAGACAACCAATCATATTTTTTGTGAAAATAAAAACTTATGGGTGCGGTTGCGATATGCAACCAAATGCTCCTACGGCTACTCTATTTTGGAGTTTTTATCCTTTATGTGTTTAAATTACCTTTTAAATAATATGTTGTGAAGAAAAGTGACTAAAAAAATAGAATTTTAAGAAGAACAAGTTTTGTTGGAAAAGTGATAATATCTTATGATGTTTTTTGAAAAGTGATGTGGTTTTTGGCTAGTATTTTCAAAAACATTCAATCAAAAGAACTTTTTTTTTTTTTTGCATAATGTCTAAATATAGACACTTTCATAATGTCCCGTTTGATATGGGAAAATGGTTTTTGAAGAAAGTGAATGTGGAAATGAAAGTGAAGGTGAGTTTTAAAACATGTTTGGTAGGTAAAAATTCTTGCATGCTCCAAGTGCACTACATCATTTATGCTCTGTCCTATCAGAACACACCAAGTCGCATCATTTTTATGCCACCTGGAAGCATTTAGATTTTACATGGCATTTTTTAAAATGGTAAAACATAATGAGTTATACAGTGGGTCCCACCATTTCTTTTCTCTCGGGTTACTCTTCCCTCCTTTCAATTAATTCTCCCGCCTGTCCTCCGAGGCTCCCCCCCGCCCCACTCTCTCCCTTCACCATTTTCACTTTGCATGAAAAGCATCCTTCATCGATCTCAGAAGGGAGATTGCGGTAAGTTCTAAGGATCTCGATTTCATCGTTGGTGAGACACGAGTGATGGTGATTCCAAGCGAAAGGTCTGAGTCTGACAGATATTCTCCTTCGACTTGAAGCTCTGCATCTCACCTGTAGATTCGGCACATCAATCTCCCTCTTTGAAGAGGTATTTGCAGATCTCTTGATGGTTTTTCTTAGGAATCATTGTGGTTGTGGCAATTGCGGCGGCAACTGCAGTGGCAACACACAGTCGTCGTGTGCGATGATACGCTGGATTTAACAAAAATAAGGAACTTGATTCTCAAAAACTATGAAACACCCACAAACTAGTGCTTGAAGCCTCTGCTATTTTTGTACTTATTTATTGTTTGCAGTGATTGAACTATGACTTTAATAGCCTCTCACTCTATTATTAGTAGCTGAAACTGTGATTAGGCTTTGGTAGTGAAGGAAGAGAGATATAATATGGGGCAGGAGCGAGGGGGCCATGGGATCATGGAGGCTTGGAGCCGACTAGCAGAGGAAAGGGGGAGAGAATCAGATGCTGGGACCCCAGCATGATTTTGTTATGTTTTGATTTAATGTTTTATAATTTTAGAAAATGCTAGGTAAGATTTAAATGCTTCCAAGTGGGATTAAACTGACTGTGATTTGGTGTGTTCTAATTAGACAGAGCATAAATGATGTGGTGCACTGGGAGCATGCAAGAATTTCTCGTTTGGTAGGTTGAAGGTTCATTAGATATAATTTCTAATTGACATACTTATATACAGTATGAAAATACCAAATTACCCTTCAAGCAACAAAAAAAAAGCCTCTACCACATCTATCTCATCCACGGCCAACAGTTCTTTCCCCCACCACCATGTAACCACCACTGTCGTCAGAAATATGGAAGACTATAACAGTATCAATCACAAAATGCATATCTTTAACAGAATAACATAGTCAAATGTAATCTAAACTTCACAACTTTAACCTTCTCCTTCATTCTTCTTCCTCGACCTTCACTTCTAGAGCGCTGTCATCGACTGGAAGACTATGAACCCAAGATTTGTCCGCCATCAAAGATGAAGGACAACAATCATGTGAGGACTAGAGAATGTGAAGAGTGCATATAAGTAAACGGTAAATCAAGAAGCAAACATGATGTAGACGAAGAGAGGCACAACAAAGAAGGCAACAACGAGCAGAAAATTGATGGGAAAAAAGAAGAAAATTATCATGCAAGACAAGAAGAAATAAAATTGATGACCTTAGTTGCTCTTCAGCATCCATGAAATCTATCATTCTGACCCTTCTCTTTGATAAAGAAAATAATCACAAATTGAAAGATAAAGGAGAATACAAGTAGCCATCCACTATCATTCTCGCCGTTGTCTTTCATCCTCACCCTCGTTCATCACCTAGCGTCCTTATTATCATTCTCGTCAAATTGTTTTAGGGAGAGGGTGAGGGGTAGAATAGTCCCATTTTTAATTCCAATAAATTGGAAGGGTATAGGTATGGAACCCACTTCTATTATTTTTTTATGAAATCGGGTTTCGCATAGAATTGGGTTCCCACATACCAAACAACACAGATTTTCAGTTCCCACCCCAATTCCACTTCTCAGCTTCCATTTCCAATACCTATATAGAAACCTGCCTTTTATGTGTAAGAAGAGTTTTATATTATGATTGATATTTTCTTTTTCATTTGAAAACCCAAGCTTGATTTACAAATGCATAGTCCAACGAAGCAAAGTCTCGCTAGATTCCTATGGGTTTTTAAGTTTAAAACCCAGAAAAATATGGGTTGTGGTTTCAGTTGTAAACTCATTGTGATTTCACCGATAATCATAGAACTGATTGGATTCATACGCAGCCTGAATTTGTGCTGGGCCAAGGGGTTTAGAAAAATCATTTTAATCTTTGACTGTATTGAAGCGATTAATCTGTGCCTAAGAGAGAGAGTATGATACTGACCACTTTTTTAAGGATGTGGTGGAAGAGGCTAGATTTATCATTCATAGAAAGTGGCAAGTTAACCTTACCCATATTTACAGAGATGAGATAACTGTTGCGAATAGGTTAGTTAAGTTGGTTCACAAGATAGATGAAAATTACTTACTCTTTGATCAACCTCCACCCCTCGATCAGGAGGCAGATGTTGATGGGGATAGGCTTTTACCCCTTGCTTGTACTCTTTTGTGTTTTAGGGGGTGTTTGGATGAGGCAAAACCATGGTTTGCAGAATAGCTTCTGGAGAATAGATTCTGGAGAGAATAGATTTTGAAAGAATAGATTTTCTAGAAAAGTGATTCTGATAAAGTGAGAGTGTTTGGATAATTATTGTCAGAAGTGCTTTTTGATATGTAGAAATACTAAAAAGGACATAAGTTTAAATGATAATTACATATAATATATATTTCATAATATATGTTTATTTGAAGTAATAAATTTATTAATAATATATATTTTGACAACATAATAAATATGGCATAAATAATATATATAATAAGAAATTAGTGTGTATATATATTAATAAAATAAATAAATATGTTTTTAAAAAATGATTTATTTTGCCAAATAATTGTACCCCTGAGCTGAATAGTGTACCCCCCAGCGTGCTGAATGACCCCCCCACGTGCTTGTTCCCTCCGTGCTGAATTGTCCCTCCGCCTGCTTCTATGAAACTAAGGTTTTGTTGGACAAAACCTTGGTTTTGCCCAAAACCTTGGTTTTAAAAAAAATGGGGGTGTTTGGCAAATTTTTTGCCAAACCATGATTTGGCAAAAAAGCCAAACACCCCCTTAGTTTTAATGAAGTTTCAGTTTTCTATTAAAAAAAAGAAACCTAGAAAAATACACCTATGCTCCTAAGCATACTAATTGACTGCTCTGAAACTTGATCGAAATTTTGCAAAAATAAACTCGGATTCCAATTTTCTTTGGTTAAAAAAGTTGTTTCTTTATTATACTCATTTATTCTTTTTTAATTTTGAATTAAAGAGGGAGCCTGGAGACATTAAAATGTCTGAGGTTACAAACCTTCAGATCAATCCAACGGAGGACAATTTAACAGTTGACACGCAATTGAGGAGCCGCACCCGAGGTGATCCGCACACTGCATTCCCCCGGCGTAAGCGCGCCAATGGATTAGAGTTCAAAATTTGAACCAGAGTCTCGAAAAGAAAAGAATCCCAGGTCTCAAATCTCAACCCTTTCATATTTCCGGCTTTGCCTATATATCTCAGATTCAAAATTAACAAGGTAAACAGAAGGAAGCTTAGTCACTTAGGCAGCGACGATGATGGCGGATGATGAGATTGAGAGGATGGATCCAGAGACCGAGTATCTTATGTCGAATAAAAGGACTGGCGACGAGTGGGAAATGTTCAAAGAAAACGTAAGGCCATTAAAAAGGGGCCGGAATATCAATCTCTTGAACACTGCTCTCAACACCCACAATGACAATCGACTAAAGAAATCTCTCCTTGACAACCGAAGGTCTTCTTGCTTTACCTTTTATACCCTAGTTTATCATTGATTTCATTTTTTTCTTTTGGAAGAAAATCGTCTTCCTTTTGATCGCATTGATGCTTTAGGAGGTTAATTGAAGCCATTGATGAATACAAAGGAGACGATCCTCTCCTGCCGTGGATTGAGTGAGTATCGTATTACTTCGTTTCTGTTATCAACTTTTCTTTAAAGACCGACTGCAACTGCTTTCTTGCAGAAGTGCATCCTTTCTTGCGATTAAGAAATTTGAAATTCCAGAAATAGCACCCTCTGCATCCTGCTAACGCTGATCATATTAATTGTTTTGCTGCTTCCAAAGGTGTATCAAGTGGGTTCAGGAGTCATTTCCCCCCGGTGGAGACTGCTCCGGACTGGTTGTGATATATGAACAGTGCGTTCGAACTTTCTGGCATTCAGACCGCTATAAGGATGATCTCCGCTACTTGAAAGTGTGGCTGGAATATGTTAGTTTTGCTCATCCTGCTTCACTTTTTTAACCTAATTTCTATAGATATTAGCGTCTGAACAAATATTAAATATGCAGGCAGATAATTGCATAGATGCGGATGTCATATATAGTTTTCTGGATGCAAACGGAATAGGACGAACGCATTCCACATTCTACATATCATATGCGCTCTACATGGAATCTAAGAATAAGATAAGAGCTGCAAACGAGATATTCGATCTTGGCATATCAAGGTATGGTACCCTGATTTTGTTCTGACCTCTGAAGGTTGTTATTGTGCCTTTTAATTGTTCAAGCTTATGTCCCTGTGATTTATACGAATTTGAAACTCAAAAGTCTGATGTCTTCATTGTGGAGAGAGTTTCTAGCGCGAACATTTAGTGTGTGCATATCTCGCAAATTTTTTCTTCGTTGCCCTTGCTTTTGGAGTTTGTGTTTCAATGGTTAATTGGTTATGTTGCGTGTATGGAGTATGGTCAATGGTGGTCTGTTTTCACTCAAGGCTAAATCACTGTTGTGCAGATGTGTAAATACGTCTCTCTCTCTCACACGTACGACGTAAAATTTTTTGCAAGCTATAATATTAGAACATGCTGCAGACCAACATCTGTTGAAAAAAATAAACAAATCCATCAACAAAAAGCTTCACTAGCATTTTGATCTCTTCGAGTTTTTTATCCCCCCCCCCCCCAAAAAAAAAAATTTCATCCTTCGAATTCTTGACAGTGGCATCGCCAAATCTATATGCTCTTGTCTGACATGTAATTTTTTTCAGTTCTTTGTTTGCTTTTCTCTCTCATTTCTCTTTTATTTTCTCTTCTCGATCGACATCCGTTAGACCTATGCATAAAAGCTCAGATGCAACTCCACAAAGCAGTATATGAAACAAATAGCATTTCGAAAAAGGAACAATAAAGTTCGGAGCCTTTGTAAGTTATAGATTCAGAGGCGGTAGAAGTCCTTTGGGAGGTGTCTCTACTTTCTGGCAAACCGGTCTTGTGGTTCTTTCATGATAGCAGGATCACTCTGTGAATGAAAAAGTGTTTTCAGTATATGAATTTTTTTATCTAAAAAAGATTTTTTTGCTAAAAACAGTTATGTATTTACCTTTTTTAAAAATAATGAATAAAATGAAAATAATATATATAATAAAATATTAATGTCTAAACTAAATTTAGAGAATTCAAAGTTATTAATGGTTTTGTTGCAAATTGAGGGGCCAAATCGAGGAGAAAGAAAAAGAAGAAAAAACTTGAACCGCGTACATTCAAGATCTCATCTCTGTTCCTTGAGGGGGTACATTCAAGATCTCATCTGTTTCTTCGTCATGGGCAAGCGAGTCTGAGGAGTATAGAGATTAATGGAGATAAGACAAGCGAATGCCACATGGGAATGTCTCAAGGATATCCGGTTTAACAGTTTTTTTAGGGGAAAAGTCATAGAGATACCTCATTAGGTGCATTTTACAGGAATGCGCAGCCAATGGCTAAATTGAAGGATGCTTACAGAAAATTTCTTGCACGCTCAATGAGAAGATCAAAAGTGACAGAGGTACGTAATTTCTGGTTGAAAGCTTATTTTGATGTAATTGGTCCATCCTTTATCTGTTAATCTCATATTCTTCTCCTACTTAGGAGGATTCAACGGAAAAACAGTTGCCTCTGCGTAGCTTTGGAACTGTGCTTGCCAACGGAGAAAATCGTGAGTCCTCTTGCTCGATGTTACTCTGGCTCAGAATCTATGAATTCTACAAGTTTTGGCAATGTTTGCAGGTGTTCGGCCTCCCTTAAGCGAGCTCTCTACGAAGAATTTAAAGCCAGAACAGTAAGGATAACGTTCTTTCTTTGGCTCTATTCTGTTGGGAAAAATAAGTCTGCAGCACACAGCCTGTGGGCATTGAGAAAAATGAATAGGTTTGAGTCTATGGAAATTTGACACTCAGAAGTCATAATGCATATTCCTCCATTTTTTGACCAATGCATATTATACTAGCGGTTCGGGTACTCGGACGCGGAATATCTCAATACATGATCTTATTTCCCGTTACTAATATATTTTCATGTCACTTGTTTTTTCACCATTTTGTAGGACTGGAGCAGTTGCACTTACTATTTATAAGGATTCAACTGCCACTGATGACAACTGTCCTCAACAGCCAGAAGCGTCAAAGAGAGAGAGGCATTCTTTGCACACTCTGGGAGCTCGAGCTGAAAGGAATAAAGAAAATTATGCAATCCCTGACAAGTGGACGACATACCAGGCATCTTCCAATCATAGTACACTTCTCTAAGGGTTTGTTTTATATAATCCAGCATCTAAAGTTATTGTATATTCAGATTCCCCAGCGACCTGGGATCAGAACTGGAGGGGTAACTGCAAGTGCTTCTATCCCTGTATTTGTTGATGAAGATTGTGATGAGTAAGCTTATGAAATTATGACTTTCAACCAGCAAGTTTCAACCCTAGGCGCATTCACGCGCCCCGTTTTCTGACTTTTGTTAGTTAACTTGTACTGTTACGGTTTTCAGTGAGCGAGAAGTGAAAACCAAGGGACGTAATTCCTCAAGTGTGTTGACTAGGCAGGAGGCCGACCAAGATTTGAAAAGGTAATCCCGGATCATCCGCCTTTTATTGTTCACCCGACTCACCTGAACAAGAGTTATGAATTAACGCACATATATTGTTTCCTTTAGGGAAACAGAGCTGCTGAGGAAGAAACCATTACGCAACTTTCCACAAAATAGCCTCCCCAGGTGATTGAAACCATGCTTGTTGCAGCTTTGTTTTGCACATATTTTATGTGAGTCTAGCTTTTTCCGTTTAAAGCAGGACCCGGTTTTGTCCGTTTCTTCGAAGTTGGTACTGAAACTTTTTTCGTTTCACACCAAGTCCTTGTCGCTTATGATGCGCCATTTATTGAAACATAATGTTTGTTTGGAGCTACCCATATAAGGATTTGTAAGTACACTCGCGTAAATCGGAACAAGTCTTTCATTCCAAACTTATCTCATATCCCATGAATTTATACGCTTAGACTTTTCCCTTCCGTGTGATAAAAATAGTGCAGAGAGCATGTTGGAGTGTGAACCATGTCATCATTTATGCTTGCAAAGCAATGTTATGGAGATTTTTTCTTCTTTTGGCTGGCAATTGCCTCAATTAATTTCAACATTTCATATTATGGTATTATGTTGAATAGCTAAATGAATTATTTTATTTACTTATAATTGGATGTTTTGATATTCATACTGCGCAATTGGTTTCTCAGCCAGCCTTGATGCCGGTATTTTGTCATCTCACAAAGGAAAAATGACAGAAAAATGATTCTGAACTTCAAAATCCCCAAGTGATCACGACTAAGTAAAATCCAAGTTTGGATATAGGTAGTTAAATTGGGATTTGTAAATCTATCGAAACCATACTGCCTTTCATTTTTATTTTCAATTTGAAAACAATACTAAGCACCATCGGCAGATCGATTGCCAAAACTTTAATGTTGGTGGCGGCCACTAGAGTTTAGACGAGCTACTGTCATCGGAGTTTTAGTAGTTAGTAATTATTTTTTTGAAAATTTTTACAATTTCAATAACCCAATTAATAAGTTTTTTAATATTATTAATATGTTCAGTATAACAGTTAATAATAGTTTTTTAAAAAATGGCATTTTTATAACTTCAATAATGTAATTAACAAATTTTGTAATGTTATTAACGGGTTTGATATAGTAGTTAATAATATTTTTTTGAAAAATTAAAAAAAAAGAAATTTTTACAACTTTAGTAACCTGATTAATAAGTCATGTAGTGGTATTAATAATTTTTATAATTTTATTAACAACTCTAATAGCAAATTATGTAATGATATTAATAACTCTCATAACTATAGTAAATGTTTAATAAATAAAAAATTTTTGATGTACAAAAGCTAACATTAAAAACATTAGCTTTCATAGGGAAATTTCGTTAATGACATTATGAGAATTGTTAATATAGTTACATAATTTGTTAACTGTATTACTAAAGTTGTAAAAATGTTATTTTTTGAATTTCTTAAAAGATTTGTTGTTAACTGTTATGTTGAATTTGCTAAAAGTGTTACAAAACTTATTAACTGTATTACTGAAGTTGTAAAGATGCCACTTTTTGAATTTTTTTTGAAAACTTGTTGTTAATTATTATACCGAACTTGTTAATAGCATTTAAAAATTTGTTAATTATATTACTGAGGTTGTAAAAATGCCACCTTTTGAATTTCCTAAAAAAAACCTGTTGTTAACTACCATACCGAACTTGTTAACCGCATTACCGAAGTTGTAAAAATAACCAAAAAAAAGTTAGTTGCTGGCCATCAAAGCCTTAGCGACTGGTCGTTAGCTTACTGTCGGAACTCCTGTGACGACGATCCATCTAAACTCTGATGGTTGCCATCGATAGGTGACTGGTGAGGGTGCTTTTTTAAAAAAGTAAAAGAGAAGTTGCAAATCTCAATTTAGTCACCAGTACCCAAACTGAGATTTTATTTATTCAAATGACTATTTAGAACTTTTAAAATTCAACAATTATTTTTCTTTAATTTTCTCTCTCGTAAAACCATCTCATGATAAAATCATTGCGCATGATGTCCATACTCCGTGGCCTATTTCATACCTTCTTTGATGCTTTACCTGTTATTACTTTTTACTCGTCCAATCCTAAATATAAAATTTTTATATATACTAGTATATGGGTTTTATATTTGGGATTGGAAGAGTATATTAATGCAGAAATTCATGTTTTCAGTAAAAAAAAATTGAATTATTTTATTTGAAACAGAAAATGGTTTTATAATTATCATTTATTTGTAATTATAGTAAAATATGACGCCTGACCAATTGCCATGTCGCATGATCTGGCTGCATTTCATTGGATGGGGGGTGAGGCATCCAGATCCACGCGGTCGAATTTCACTTCCTTACCCACGAAGACACGGCCCCGTAGCCGCTTTATTTAATTGCCAGATTACTTCACTCGCATGTTATGCCCTGATAAGATTTCAGCTCCTCCGTAAAATTAGTTCTTCATGGATGATCTTGCAGTTGCGGACGATGACTTAATCGACCCAGTTGATTGGGGTCACATCTCTAATGAGAGCTCGCTCTTCCCAGTTGTTGCCGATGGGCCTTTTTCTGATCCCTCCCCTGATTACATGCTCGAGATTCAGAACCTGTTGATGGATGACAACGACAACCCCGTTTCGGAATCCCCCTCCGATTTTAGTGCTAAAGAGTTTTGCGATAAGTTTTTGGCCGACATACCTGTCGGTCAGGTCCAGCAAGATCCTAAACCCTCCGGTGAACCCGCCGTTGATTCTCCTTTGGACCCGGACAAAAACAGCGTGCCTGCCGCAGAAGACCCTGTTTTCAAAAAGCGTACAAGGTACCATTTGAATTTGTTTTCATGTTAAGATCGACTCATTGGTACATAAGGATAGCGCTACATATTTTGCCGTTGCATAGGTGTTGGGCGTGTCTCGACGCATGGTACGAAATGGAAGGGAAGGTTCCTTTCTGGTTTTTATTTTTTTAACGATGGAACGGAATGGTAATAGAAGGATTTGAATAGTAATCCCGGAACATCGTAACCCCTTTTTTTTTTAACGAGTTACAATTGGCTTAAAATCTTGTTACAATCACATTCTAATTGCGAGTAATATTTAAAAAAAAAAAAACAGAGAGAGAGAGAGAGATTCTTTTCTATCATTGTCTCTTTTCCATCGACGAACTTCCGAGCAATAAAGTGTTACTTTCTTTTTCCATCTTTGACACGAAAACGGCTTGTGCGCCTTATCCCAAAAAATAGAAGGTTGTGCATGTTACATTTTCACCCAACACGTGCACTTCCATATGCTGGTGCCCGGATTAATGTCCTTTATAAATTTGACTTACTAGCTGCAATTTGTGTTTTCCCTCAACCTACTCACTTTTGTTGAATAATTTTTTTCGACCTGGACTGGCTATCTGTTTCATCGTAATGTGTGAAAAGTTAATTCAATTACGCTTAATTTTTGGTGCAGAAGTCGAGACAAGGATTTAGGATATAAGAATTTAACATCGAACAGTTGTTTGATGTTAAATTTACTGATAGAACATCTTCTTTTCTGTTTGGTTTTCTTTACTTATCCTATATAAATATATCGTTGTAAACAGAATGTGCGCGGGGCCTGTTTTGATCTGGCATCTTTAAACTTCTAAGGGCTGTGTTTTCCATCTGACTTTCAGGAAGATGAGAAATAGGGAAGCTGCAGTAAGATCCAGGGAAAGGAAAAAGTTGTATGTGAAAAATCTCGAGATGAAATCCAGGTATCTTGAGGGGGAATGCAGAAAGCTGGGGTATTTACTGCAGTGCTGTTGTGCGGAGAACCACGCCTTACGTCTTTATTTACAATCCAACACTGCATTTGGTGCTTCTGTGTCCAAGCTGGAGTCTGCTGTGCTCGTTTTGGGTAAGGCTTATGCATGAAATATCATTCATTAATTCTTGTTGTTTTGCATGAAGCTTTATATTTTAACAGCCGGAGAGATCACCGACTGCTTTAAACTTATGCAAAAGCAACTTTGCTTGATTGATTTGGTTTCAACAGTGGATGGCTTGTGATTGGGCTGTAGCTAAGATTATTACTTTATTTCGATTGTTGAAGTTTGTTAAGTATGTATGCTTGATAGCATATTATAGAATTGAAATGCAGTGTGCGCCTTATAGATCTTAGTACCCGGTTTATTGAGGTTTGTGCTGTGACACTACGAGGAAAATATGTCACCTTTTTCTTAATCTGGCGAATAGATAATTTATCTTTTTTTATCCTTCATAATAGCCAATTAGGCAGTCTGGTACGTTCACGGTGTTTTGATTGTAACGTTTTGGTTATTGTTTCAAAATAGATCTGAATGGTGTACAAAATGGCATACTAGCATGCATGTTTAGGTTTTTTTTTTTTTTAATATTTTAAATTTTAGTTAGGGTGGAATTATTTTTGGTAGCATCGAAGAGCACTTGTAAATATAGGCACGAGGATACAAACCTTAGTTCACTATGTTGTGGGGCATTTGATTTTTTGATCCTGGAGCTTTTATTCTGTGGCCATTATTTTTATGTCGAACATAAATTTCATCTTAATTGATCGTCATTTATGGATGGTATTGTCGTATGACAGAATCCCTGCTGCTGGGTTCCCTGCTATGGTTCATGGGCATCATCTGCCAACACAATCTCCTCCTGGTCCCCTATTTGATTCCGGAGTTGGAAGTAATGCCACCGGCAAATATGGAACATCAAGGCCTAAGAAGGGTGGCTATTCAAGGGGCAAGAAATAAGATCTGGGCTTATTTTGTGGTGCTGCAGTCGTTTGCAAACAGCAGAAGGTCCCGAGCCTCGAGAACGAAGATGAAAACGAACTTTCTTGTGTTCTAAGCTTTCTTTGTGAATTTCTTTCTATTAATGAATTGAACTTTGTTAAATATGCCTCGGCACTTTAAAATGATAGTTCATATAATGTAACGCATTAGAGCCACCCATTTTACCCAACCTATTATGGATGAAAATAAACATACGTTTCTGACGCAAGTAACATGGAAGAACCTTTGGCTATGCAAACAGGGCTCTTGCTTTGCACTTTTTCTCTACGTATTTGTATGTCTCTTTAGTAACTCTGTTTGCACGCGTTCTTAGAGAAAAACTTTCAGGTCTTAATAGCTGCACTGACTCTCTGTTTAGAAGGGAGGCAGAATTCATCTAGAATCTTCTTACAACATTGATTTGGGAGGGAGAAGATGAAGTGGTAATATTATTATCTGTCGTATTCCTTCTTTTGTTGAAACTTGCTTGGAAGGAGAGGGTTGCATGAGCCATAACAACCCTGAGTGGGCTGAGTCTATTGGCGATAATTTTTTGGTTTGAAATAAGGATCAACAATTCCTTTAATTGTACAAGTAATGATGACCCTAACAATGTGTCAGTGGTTTTGGAAAAACATGTCATGGAGATCAGTGGTTCTTGATGATTTGTGTTTAGTTGAATTATTTGATTATTCGATATTTAATATTTAGTAAGCGTTTTTAGCAATTTAGTTGCATATTGTACGTGGCAAATATTTCTAATCTTCAATTTTTAATAGTGTTTTAGTGTGAAAGTACAAAAAAGAATATGAAGAAATTTGGATCGAAACATTAGTATTAGTAGTACTAATAATTAAGAATTTACTTACATATTTTCGCATAGAAATTATTAAATAATATCAATAGTTAATAATTAATGATCTAATGATTTAGAGTTTCGTTCTAAAAATATTAACTTTTTTTGGCCACGTGTGATGAATATACTACTCCTAAACATATTTTTTATAAAAATTAAAACGGTGCCAAACATTTTAAGTAGGGCTGCTCATAGTGTCACGTCCCGGTTGTCCCGCGGTGTATATATTCATATATATTTTTAATTTTTGTTATAGATTATTTTTATTTATTTATTCTAACAATAAAAAAATAGGTATTGAGTTCAAAAAATATTAAGCTTTTTTTTTTTAATAACAATAAGATTCCTCAACTTAATCCATCCTGGGTTACTAATGACAAAATTAGCATCTGGCTTATAATGTCACTAAGCTTTTTACTTTGACGTTTAAAAAAAGAAAAAAATATTTTTTAAAAATGCAATTTAAACAAGCTTCAATCAATACGATATGATAATGTATTTTCGTTAACATATATTTAGATTTAATTGGAATTAAAGATAACTTCCTCTACATGTAATATTTACTTTGAGAAGTTTTAAAACATGAAAAAAAAAGAGAACAAGTTTAAGTAACCTATCTTTACTTGTCAAAACCAATGAACAAAAAACCAGATTGGATATTAAACTGGCTGAGGTAGTGGGTTAAAGGTCAGTGGGTCAGACCGAAATCTAACTGGATCAAACCGGTCATATTAAAATAATATAATTTAATTAAAAATAATAAAATACAACAATAACAGTAATCAGTCATAACAAAATACAAGTAAATAGAACAATAGTTTGATTGTAATAATAATGAAGTGTAACAATATTGAGATATTTGATCTTTATGATTCCTTAATAACTAAAATTAATAATCATTAATATTAAAATTATCATTAAAATTTATTTAAATTCATAATGACTGAGATATTTGGAACTGAATAAGAAAAAGTAGGACCAATAACAATATAAGTATCCAAATCAATTCATTACCAGTTCACCCTTGGTTTGACTGATTTGCCACTAGTTCGACTTGTGGCCGTTTTAGTGCTTGAACAAAACAGGATCACTAGCTAGTTTACCAGTTTTTCAGTTGAATCAACTAGTTCAGTTTGGTTTTTTGTTCATTGATCAAAACTAAAAAATAGCATGATTATTTTGCTAGTTAAATCAAATATTCATTACTGTTAGATATTTGAAACTATATTTAGAAGGGAATATGACTTTGATTAATTACTTTTTGTACAAAAAAATTAAAATCAAAATGGCGATATGTTTTGAAAATTAAAAAAAAAAATCTTGTGGGACATCCCATCATGTTCTGATTGGAATTGGGATGGCTTTAGGATGGGATGAGATTGTCCTTGTGTCATCCCGTCTTATTCCGTTATGTGACTACCCTACTTCCAAGATGTGTACCATTTTTTCTTCAACACTTTTTTTCCTCAAAAAAGGTCCTTTTTTTTAATTTTATTTTGGGTTAATCTAATTTTTAATACCTAAAATTTAGATTCATTTTGGTTTTGGTCTATCAAATTTCAATCTTGTGGTTTTAGTCATTATCTCATCTTAAAACGTTAATTTGCGAAAGTGTAGTGGTATGAAAATCTACTGAAATGTCATAAATAACATTAAAATAATAATATGAACTCATTATGCGCTTGATTAAATCTTAAGTGGATAATAGAGGGGGATGGGTTTTCAAAACAGAGCATAGTAAATAGTTCTTCAAACAAATAACAAGAAAAAAGTGACTAAACAGCTATGTTTTGATAACTTATTTTTTGTTTTTTTTCCTCTTTACTTTTCACGCAAAATCTAGCTAGGTGTTATTTTGTAAGTTTATATTACCATTTTAACATTATTTGTGATATTTAAGCATATTTTAATGTCATTACACTTTCAAAGACCAGTGTTTTTAAGATGAACTTTCAAGGATTAAATTTGATGGATCAAAACCTACCGGAATTTTAGGAAACAATAATTATATTAAGGGAGAATTGCAATCAAGTTTAAAAAAAGAAACGTAATAATTTAAAAGTCTCAATAACAACTTAAATAGCTTGTAGTGATACGAATTTTATAATAAAAAATGACAATTTATAACTTGTTATTTAGAATTGTTGGTAGTTTTTTTTTTTTTTTGCCCTTTCTAATCTTAATGTAATTCTCCCTTATATTGACCATTTTATTTTTCTGGGCCACCCCTCATGAACTAGGCAAACCGCGGAGCAAATGTGCAATTTGAATTTCAAAAAGAAATGTGACCGTTGCTCAACGACTCAATTCAAGATCCATTTAGCGGCTATAAATTACGTGTTAAGGTCGCCGATGCCTAGAACTTGTTTGCGTGCGGTGAGAGAGGGAAAGAGAGATTGAGAGAAACAAATGGAGAAGAGTGTGAGCACCCTATCGGCAAAGGACGCATTCGAGAAGCTAGAGAAGGTAGGAGAAGGGACGTATGGGAAGGTGTACAGAGCAATTGATAAATCAACCGGCAAGATCGTTGCTCTCAAGAAGACTCGCCTGCACGAGGATGAAGAAGGCGTCCCTCCGACTACTCTCCGTGAGGTTTCTATTCTGCGTATGCTCTCTAGGGATCCCCATGTTGTCAGGTCTATTTCCTCTGTCTTCTCATCTCTCTTTCTCTTAAAATTGGGATTTGGGGTTTTGCCATCCGCATATACTTCATCTCTTTGATTCCAATCTTTATCTTACCGCTGAATTGGCCGATTATCTCCTGATTCCAGTTTTCTTTCGTGCTCATCTTGTTTTGCTCCCTCCTTTTTTTTTTTTTTCGAGATTTCAAGATTTCGATCCTAGCATCGTCTCAAGAGTTTAATATTCCTATCACTGCCGCATCTCTTGTATTTCTCTGCTACAGGTTGTCCATCCTTGTTTTAACATATTGTGTCTGAAGTAAACATTTCATTGTTTTCGACAGGCTGATGGATGTAAAACAAGGTCAGAACAAAGAAGGAAAGACGGTGCTGTATTTGGTGTTTGAGTACATGGACACGGATCTCAAGAAATTCATTCGTAGTTTCCGTCAAACCGGAGAAAACATCCCCGCTCCAACAGTCAAAGTAAGTGTTACATTTTCCTTAACGTGGAACCGCAGTACTTATTTATTAAGGTCTTAAGCGTGCCGGATGCATTTTCATTGCAGAGCTTGATGTATCAACTTTGCAAGGGCGTTGCTTTCTGCCATGGTCATGGAATCTTGCATAGGTAACCGCTTCTTTCTTTTTTTTCCTCTCTTCCCTAATAGATAGATCGGAAATTGAAATGCCAAGTCTCTTCTGATATTTCTGAAGGGATCTGAAGCCCCATAACCTCTTGATGGACCGCAAAACGATGATGCTTAAAATAGCTGATCTTGGATTGGCTCGAGCATTTACCGTGCCAATCAAAAAATACACACACGAGGTAGTGCACTCCCCTCCCTTCCTCCCTTCTTGCTTCCTTGCAGCATCACCAGTGGCTCATTTCTTGTTCCCCATTCTTTTATCTATTCAGATCCTGACCTTGTGGTATAGAGCTCCTGAAGTCCTTTTGGGAGCAACCCATTACTCAATGGCGGTAGATATGTGGTCTGTAGGTTGCATATTCGGTATAAAAAATTACCCATCCCTGAAAATGTTCAATTGGCTAGTTTTTTTTTTTTTTATCTGGCAGGAGTTTTATTGATTTATTTATTTTCTTTTTGACTTTGATTTTGAATTATAGCTGAACTAGTCACCAAGCAGGCCCTCTTTCCTGGTGATTCTGAGCTGCAACAGCTCCTGCATATATTCAGGTGACACCTTAAGCAATTTTGTGATTATTTGGCTTTACTGTACAACACGTCTATTCTCACAATACGCGTCTGTGCGCAGGCTGTTGGGTACTCCAAATGAGGAGATTTGGCCAGGCGTTAGTAAACTAATGAACTGGCATGAGTACCCCCAGTGGAGCCCTCAAAATCTGTCAACTGCTGTTCCTAATTTGGACGACACTGGTTTGGATCTGCTTTCTGTAAGTTGCCTCTTACTACCTTTTGCTGCCTTCGATCTTCCTCTTTTCCGATTAATTGATATCTTTTTCATCGTTTTTATTCCCAGCAAATGCTGCAATACGAGCCTTCAAGGCGTATTTCTGCAAAGAAAGCTATGGAACACCCTTACTTCGACGAACTGGACAAGAAGCATCTTTAGGATGATTACAGCTGCCGTTTAACTTGCTTTTCTCAAGCACGTCCATTGTCGCCTAAAAATCTATTTTAGGATGATTAATTTCTTTGCTGGTTAATTTCGACTTGTGCTTTTTTTTTTTTTAAACTCCGGTGTAGTATAGTTTGACTTGGAGTTCCCTCTCGATTACTGTTCTCGTTGGATTGTGGACTCCTAAATCCAGATGTTCCAAAATATAACCACATTTCAAGTCACAATCCGCTTGGGAATGGGCGAAATTGAAGCCAAGGCATGCAAGTCTACTAGTAGCACACATGCACGGACTTTTTCCCTTCTTTTGCTGCCCGTTATCGTACAGGGATATTTTGTGGGTTTGGTGCGGGTAGCGGGATTTGAAGTTATCTAAACCAAAATCGTAGAGTCTGCATTTTGTTGTTAGTAGGTGTCCACATACTGTAAACGATATTGCTATTCAGGTCCTGAATATAAGATTTACTTTATATATAAAATGGATATTATATTTAAAACTGGAGGAATATAAAGTTGGTAAAATGATAATGTTTTTCCTTTTTTACCATTTTTACCCTTAAAATTATGAACAGGAGGGAGGTTAATGAGCTGGATATCAAACAAATTGCTGCGCAGATTAACTCGCAAATATCATTTCATTGATAACAGAATTTAAAATTTACTCCTTCGGTCTTTAATATAAGACTCATTTAACTAATTTGATTAAATTAAGAAAGTTAGGTAAAAGTAAGAAAAGTGACACATTTTTTTCTAAAATATCATAATCATCTTTTTTAATACCCCATCTTCCTCTTCTATTTGATTATGGTTGAGGGAGTATTCATAGGGGTAATTTAGAGAAAATTGATAAATATGAGAAATGGATTTTATATTTATGACCAAAATCACCTCAAGAATTGGATCCTATATTAAGGACCGGAGAAGTATATTGGCAATATAACGCATATACAAGGATAAGGTTAATATCATTTTCAATTTCCAAAATTTGACCTTATTTTGATTTTAATATCTCAAAACTAAAACTAATAATTATAAACTAAATTTTGATCGGGTCTAAATCCTCTTGAAAAGAGGTGTGCACCCTCTCTCCTCTTTATATATTATAATAATAATAGCTTTTTAAAATATTAAATCTGAAATACAACAATACATGTTGGGCAATAAAGGAAAAACAATAGCGCAAAATTAGAGTGGCAAAATGAGGATGTTAAGATAGATGTGTGGTCATACAGAAAAGATAAGATTTGAAATGAAAATATCATAGCAAGAGTCAGTATGGCGCGGATCTAAGAGAAAATAGTTAAAAATCGCTTAAGATGATTTGGACATGTGCAGAGAAGACTATTCGATGCCCTAGTAAGGAGAGCAGATCAGACGATATGGAGTCTCATAAACAGGGATAGAGGAAGACTAAGAAGAATACTCAATGAGGTCATTGAGCGAGACTTTATAATCAACAACATATCCAAGAACTGTGTTATTGATAGAGCATGATAGCATCATGTGATTTATGTAGCCAACCCCACTTAGTAGGATAAAATTTGTTGTTGTTGCTGTTGAAGTATTCTTTTTTTCTGTCGTTGTTTGTTGTTGGAGTATCTTTTTTTCAATCCAACAATGGAGCGAAAAAACGAGATGAAAAAGGAGTCTCCAGTCACACAGTAATCAGAAGGCACCGTCCTAAAGCAGTAACTTACGAGGAGTGGATGTTATACGTACTCATGTCATGCGTAGACACAATAACTTGGAACTCCTAGGATTTAAATTATTTTTAATTTGTTCGAAATTCATTTTATGTTTTTTTAAACATAAATTTAGGAATCAAATGCTTGACTATTTTATGGGTAAACAAGAACCCTTTTTATTTTGGTTACAGGGTGAACAAGAACTTTTGATTCTTATCCAGATGACGAAACATTTTCACCGCTGGGACAGGAAGCAGACGTCCATCCTGCCAACATCCCTGCTGTGTTATTAGGCAAACTGAAAGCCACACATATGAGGGATAACATGATGTTTGTCCTCTCAAGACGCATCGCAAGCAATGCCGCAGGTACGGATACGAATATCATGAACAAATGATGCGTGCCAGCGCAAAATTCAGAACTGTGGAACCATCATCAACTGGACGATCATAAAAACATTTCATAGATTGCACTCATTATTCCTCCAAAAAAAAAAATACATCCTCCATTCCTCATTCTTCTTAATATAAGAACAGCTTTGATTTTTATTTTCTTCTAAATATAATATTTCAATTCATTTTATCTCTTATATTTATTTATTTTTAAATAATCTTTATAATAATGATAGTTCTAACCAACACACTTGATTAATAAAAATATTTTAAAAAAACAAAACATATTTATTATAAATAACTAAATTAAATTAGTCAACTGGACTGCAGAGATAGTATTATGATACTCTATTTCGTTCCTTCTACTGTGCTCTCCTGTTGTAGACCTTGTCTCTCAAAGCCACTATCAGTTTAGTGCATGCATTTATTACTGCACATACTTGTTATAGGCTATAACTTGTATGTATTTTGGCTCATTAAGGAACAAGAAATTGGATTTACCTAAGTATAGCATGGGTAAAATATCATGCAGCGTAGTTTCCAGGCGTAAACCGGCTAACCGACCAACTCATAGCAATAACAGAACAAAGGATTACGGCCATTGTCACTTGTCAGCCCCAAATTCTCATACCTTTCATTTTTACATGTACTGAGAAATTCCAGAACAATATCGATAAATCAGCATAGTTCCTTCCTGTCCGCAAAAGCAGCGAACAACATAACAAGAGTACACCATATCTCGAAACTACAGAATTAAATTTGCTGTCATGGGGCTCACACCATTCATGATGTATTTAGGATACCAAGATGGATTGTGGAAGCTAGAAGCACAAAATACTGTCGTTTCAAAAAGGATTCAGCCTTCAAAAAAGCGCGCCACGAGATAAATCTTCAGGTATATTTTTTGAAGGAGATGAGACATAGGCATACCATAAACCTCAACTCGCTCAATTCTTTACTGCGTTATATAAAAGTGTGTCGATTACGTAGTCCGAAAAAAGTTAGAGAACTACAGGGGTCAACAACTCTTGTAAAATCGGGAATATTTGAGCGGTACGTCGCCAAACAACGGAGGAACTCGGCAAGCTCACCATGTACAAGTAGTTGATGCCGAAGACGAAGAGCGTCGACTCTTAGGCTTACTTTCCACTAGCTTCGTCCTTGCCCTTGTTCCCATATGCCAACCCCGTTTCCTGGCAAAGAAACGTCTGTTGATTAAAAACCAAAATTGAAGAGCATGTTGAAAAGTTAAAGAAAGCGGGGCAACCTGAGGATCGGGAATGGGTTTTCGTTTCTCAACATAACGATGAGGATCCGAAGCAGCAAGAGCAGCTTGGTCCTAAGAAGGATGAATAGTGAATTAGGTGAAAAGTGGAAAGGACGAGGAAGGAGGGGGGAAGAGAAAGATAAACCTGTTGTTGGCGGTGAAGATCTCGAGAGGGTTTGACCCAAAGGAAGTAAGCTAGGGTTCCAGCGACAAGCCAGGAAGCAAGATTGGTTCCTCCTCGAACACTGCCCATGGAATTGCTTACGAAGGATCTCACAGTTCCCAGAGTTCTTCTCCAGCTACTAGCCATTGCGCTTCTGATTTTGATTTCTGATTCTCAAACTACTTCCCTAGCTGGCATCACATCTAAACTCCCCCCGTCTCTGCTTCCGGCTTAAGCAACGCCGCCAATTGCCCCCCCTTCCGCCTGCCCTAATATCGGCCCCCAGGGGAACTCTACGAGTATCTCTATTTAGTGAAGACACTTCTAATGTTTTTGGTGATTCTCAAATACCCCCTGCATCGTTTTTAAATAAACTTTTTGAACCATCAAAACTATTCGGTCGTTTCCTAATGTTGACTTATAAATAATTTTTTAATTAAAACTTAAAATAATAAGTATATAAAAAAAAATTTTATCTCGATTTACATGTTTATTACAGATCAACACATACTAAAATCCTAGTACCTAAAATTATTAAGTCTTAGGTTGGGGAATTTTGTTTATATTTTTATGGAAATTCTCAATTATCAGATTTTTTATGAGATTTTTCGCACTAAAATCATTTTTTTGTCCATCTTAAATTGCCTAAACCAAATGATATCATAATAATTGCAAAGAGATGGATATCAGAAAATACTCTAAAATATTTTCTAGGTAAGTTTTAGTATATTAAAATTTTTTGTTTGCTTTTGAAGTAATTTTTAATAACAAATTTACCATTGTACTTTTAAGGGTTAAGTTGTAAATTCTTTTTGGAAGTTCACTTAGGAGTGTTTTTTGAAACAAATTTGTTTTAAAATTTAAAATTACAGTTTATCATTAAAAAAATTATGTTGACCGTTAAAATAATAATATTGATAGGACGATATTAATATGATTTTAAATTTCTGTGGTAAATTAATTTCCTAAAAAACTTTCAAATACTTAACACTTTTAAGTAAAAAATTTTAAATAAATTTACATCTTAATTCTACTTAACATACTTTTCAAACAAAATATTGTAAATTGCGTTTCCAATAGTTTAGAATTTTTTTTTTCAGCAGTTCTATTAAAAAAATATTTTCTCATCATCACTATTATAAAGTAATTTTTTGTGTAATTTTGTAGAACATGAGAATTTATAACTAAGATAAAAGAATTCGCAAGAAAAATACAACTATTTACAACTAAAGTGATCTGTAATAAGTTAAGGAGTTAGTATTTATAAGTAGAATATAAGAATTTACGACAAAAAATAAGATCATTCATGAAAGAAATAAAACAATTCATAACTGGATAGAAGTTAACATTTACAACAAGCCAATGAATTATGATTTACATGTAAAATACGGGAATTTACAATTAAGATTAGAAAATACACAAAAGGAACGTGGCCATTTATAATTAAAGTAATTCATAATAACTTAGGAAGTTAGGCCGATTTCAACCACAAAATTAAATTTCATTTTAATGTTTGGGAGAGTACAAGGAAATTTTAGATTTTTTTAGGCAAATGGAAATTAAGTACCACCCAAGATTTTCCCAAAAATATTTACCGTGACGAAATTCTGAGGTTTTGGAGCGAAAACCCAAGGAAGAAGCTTCAGAGATCAGAATGAGTTTTCTTGATTTTGCTCGAGTCTTGATACAAAACAAACTTTACGGTGCGTTGACAGCATTGTTGTGGGTCTGTGGATGACTTGTAAGTTCTATTTACCTAGAGTAGCTGGTGGTCGGAAAGCAATCGTGTTGAATGTCAAGTGCTGTCTTCCGCGAGGATTAGGGTTTTTGAATGAAAAGGTCTTGAGCGGAATGCAGCGATCACTGTGTTATGGAATTGCAGTAGCAGAAAAACATGTCGGGATCAGAGACAGGAGTGATGGCCAGTAGGGAGCCCTTCAACGTGGGGCATCAGAATAGTCCGGCACCATCACAACCGGTCTTGCAAAACACGCGCATGTCCTACAATGCTGATGGCACAACTGAGTACAAGCATCTTGCTGCTATTTCCCCACCAACTTATCACTCCTCAACCGCTGTCACTGGCACTATTGTTAACGGCACCGATGCCGGACAAGGGGGCGAAGCATCGGGAATCAATGTCAACATGGTCAATGAGCCTTTGAAGAGGAAGAGAGGGAGGCCGAGGAAATACAGGCCAGATGACGCCATGGCGCTCGTCTCGGCGCCCAAACCTCCCGCGCTTTCCGTGAACCAGTCCAGTGGAGGATCTGCGTCACCCACTTCCACGTCCCTGAAGAAAGTCAGAGGCAGACCTCCCGGTTCCAGCAAGAAGCACCAGTTGGAGGCTCTAGGTAACTTGCTTTTTTGCTTATCATGAACATGTATTATAATAATGTAAGATTTTATTTCTCGTCTCGTTGGCTGGTTGTAATTTTTAAAGCAGCTTTTGCTTGTTCTCTGGCTTTATTTGATGACCTGGTCAATTTTATTACATGTTGACTCCTGATGCCGTTTGGATCTTTCGTATAGCTGTTTTCTGATGGAATATACCATGCTTTTCCTCGATGTTAATTAGGAATACGAGGTACATTACGTCTGCTGGAGAATTTGCAGATTAAAAAAAGGGTTGGACTATAGTTATATGCTAGCATTCGATTCCTAAATTTTAGGATGCCTATCTGTTCCCTGCTTGCATGTAAAGTTCAGATTCTTTTGGGCTCTTATGCAGTTTCCTCTTCTTTTTGATTAACTATTTTCTTGAATTATTGAATATTGGCAGCGTCCTGCTATTTTCATGATTTCATACTTTTAATAATCACTGCATTAGACAGTGACACAGTCAAGGGCGTCGAAGAGACAACTCAAAATCTTAATGCTATCTATTTTACTTTTCCTAAAGCCTGTCTGTTTGGCATTATAATCCCTGACATAACCATCTTATAATTTCAGTTGCCTTCTAAACCGTATGCTTATCATTGTGTGAATTCTTTCTGTAGTATGGAACCTGCACAAGTATATCTGGACTTTCGTGTTAATGTTACAATGGCAATCAAATGCAGTCCGATATATGCTGAAGCATGTAATTTCTTTTTTAATTTCTGTTAAGGAGTGGGTCCATTGGAGTTTTTTATTTAATCAAAGTTCATGTAGCTGCTACTGCTGTAATTTTCTGTCGGATTGTGATTTTCACAAGGGAGGTTTTTCTTCAGGACCAGCTGGAGTTGGATTTACACCACATGTTATTACTGTAAAAGCTGGAGAGGTATTTGCTAATCACATAGGATATTTAGATGCATTCACTGAACGATTTCATTGGGAATCATTGTTTAATTTCTTGAAATTAACTTTATCTTTTAGTAATAATTTTTGAAATATACCTTCTATGCTACCGTTTTTGTACAAGTTATTATTTGATTGAACTTCTTTGGCATTGCTCCTTTTTTTGTTCTTATTTTTGATAATTCAGCAAGGCCAGAGGCCCAATACGTTGATCCTTTTTTAAATTAACCAAAATTTTTAGATGATTTATCATGGGGCGAATCTGATGCTGGAATTTTTTGCTTACCCCTATGAACTTGTTTTTCTCGATTTTTTCACTCTTAATTCCTTCAATTTTCTTTTAATATTTTACCAGTCCCCCCCCCCCCCAAAAAAAAAGTGTAACTGGTGTTTGAGCGTGACCCCCTCTCCCCGAGGGTTTGGTTTTCTTTTGTTTTGTTCAGGGGATGGGAAACCATCTTTTAAGATGTGCAACTTCTTCAAATATTCCTTCAACACTCAAAGGGGATCATCATGTCAACGAAAATTTTCACCTCTGAAACTTAACAGGAAATTAAGAACTGGAAGATATATTTAGAAGGGTTTTCTTGCGCTCATAGAGCACCCTGAGAGGGGTGGACAATTCATTAATTATGCTGAGTGCAAGTATTGGTTATTTACATTCATTGCTGACCTAGCATTTTTGGCGTCCAGTTTCTCTCCCATAAATGTGGGAAAATGAAGCTGTTATGTCCCATAAATCCTGAGCGTCTGAAGCATTCATGGTTCCAATGAGCACCATACATGCATTTCTCGCTGAAGCCTGAATCCTGTCTCTTGTCATGTCATCCTCTAGCGGCATATGCAGGTCTTAAGCCATCACCTGGGATTGTACAGTGGTTTTCTTCTCTGTGAAAGACGTACTAGGATAATTAGAATGAAATGGAAAAACTGAGTTTGAGGAAACACAGAATTTCATCAGTGAGAGCTGAAATGACACTGAAAAATCACTCTCTTTCTTTCTTCACCCCCCCCTTTTTTTTGACAGAGTTAAGGAGAGTAATGATGGAATAGCAGAAGGATACAATTCTTATATTTTGAAATTAGAAATAGAAATGCAAATCTGATAATTAAAGATAGATATCTAATCCTATTATTACTCTCATTTACAGGACACAAGAGATTAAGTTCCCCTGATTTCCATGGTCATCACTTCTCTGCCAACTATTTCACCTTCTGTCTCTACATTTTTTGAGGGAGTCTGATTGTTGCTTCATGGCTTCCGCCATCTTGTTATTGTTTCTGAATGTGGTTTTTTCTTTTTTTTTCATCCTGCTTTTCAGCATATGGCACTGGTTCTTCCTCAAGCCTGTTCTCAATAGGAACCTATTCGTTAATGCCTTATCGTCTTTAGCTTAACAACCAAGTACAGCAGTATTCTTCAACAGTGCCAACATCTGGTTTGATCATTCAATCTTAGGTCTCAAATCATTATAGTCCTGTTGACCATTGAGCATCTGAAAGGCTTTTTTGAAGTTCCTCTTTCTCCTTCATCAAAGGGTTTGAACAGCTATAATCTCATTTCTCTCATTTTTTTGGGCCAAATTTCGACAAGCTTCAGCGAGATGTGAGTCATTTTTGAGTGCTGAGGATGCATGGCCTTCACTAGAAGCACGGATGATTTAGACTGTGAGAATTTCTTGGGCATAAAAGCCTCACGGTTGCTTGGTAGGAAGAGATTTTACTTAAAGGACAAGGGCTTCTTGTCTTTCATATTACACAATAATATATTTATATAGAAAATATTTTCAACTTTCTAGGGAGTACAAATCAAGCTAGTAAATTTGAACTTAGAGTAATTGAACCAATTGACCCCTTCATTATCCTCGTTAATTTTTCCATTATATTTCTGTTGATTTGAGATGCCTCTTCCCATTCAGTCTAGTCTGCTTTTCTTTCCCTTATTTCATTATTGTTTGGAAAAAATGGGTGCATTAGTCAATGTCTAATAATTTCCATCTATGTTGCATACTCTTTTTTGGACTAAAGTTTAGTGGTTTTTATAATTTGGTATTCAGGATGTATCATCAAAAATTATGTCCTTTTCTCAGCATGGTTCAAGGGCTGTATGCATCCTCTCAGCAAATGGAGCCATATCTAATGTGACGCTGCGTCAAGCTGCCACATCTGGTGGAACTGTGACTTACGAGGTTTATAAAGTTCTTGCAACTTTTTCATTCCTGTCTTCCCATAAACTGATCTTCAATCCAAAATCAAGTTGTCCGCTTTCCATTAGTCCCATTGATTTTTTTTTTAAAAAAAAACATTCTTTATCTATCCTACGTATGTCAGTCTTTGACTGTTATTTTAATGCACAGCTTAACATCAGGAAGTAAATAATTTAGTTTTTACCAATGGTGTTTGGGTTGAGTGAAGGGGACTTGATATTCCCTCTGCTAAGTTTCAAGTTCACATATTGTGAATGGGGGGAAAAAAGCCATGCTAGGATAGTTTTTCCCATTTGAGACCCAATATGACTTGAATCTAGATTAATTAATGGCACAGGATACCGAATGGTTATAAAAAGTTGTTTGCCATTGTTCGTCGGGATAATTAAATTATGGCCCCAGGTTAAGAGGATCCGTATTATATTATTTTTTTGAATTTGCAGCATTCATTTAATATCACGACTGAGAAACTGTGCTCATATTGGATTAATAAGGTTGTGCACGCTATTAGTGGCCAAATGTATTTAGTCTTTTGTGATCAAACTCTTTTGGGATATTTTGGTTTTGTAGGGACGCTTTGAGATCCTATCACTATCTGGTTCTTTTCTTGTATCTGAACATGGTAGTCAGTGGAGTAGAACTGGTGGATTAAGCGTATCCTTGTCTGGACCAGATGGCCGTGTTTTAGGTGGGGGAGTTGCTGGACTTTTGACAGCTGCTTCACCTGTGCAGGTACATATATTTCTGAATTTGCATAGCCAATCGATTTACGAAGTTAGATTTTTTTTTACCTCTACCTTTATATGTATCCAGCATGTTTTCAAATATTTGCGTGGGGGAATTGATGTTCCTGCACTGTGTATTTGGAGTTTTGGGGAAGACTACAGTTGCCATTTTGTTATCTCACAATTTGAGGTTACAAACTCATTCCCTTCCCTATGTGTTACGTAGTGGTTTATTAGAGTTAAGAGTTAGTTACGAGGATTGATTAATTAGAGAAGGTTATTAGTATAAATAGAGGATATTAGTGAATGCAGGAGGTGTATTGTGAACATAAAGTACAGTTCCCTAGTAGTTTCCTTTTTTCACGCTTAACAATATGATGTCGTTACAATTTGGCATTTGGGCAATTGATGGCAGGTTGTTGTAGGGAGCTTCATTGCAGATGGTGGGAAGGCATCAAAGTCAGCAAACCAATTGGAAATATTATCCGCCCCACCAAAGTTGGCCCCAAGCAGTGGTCCAGTGGGGCAGAGCAGCTCCCCATCACGGGGCACTCATAGTGAATCGTCAGGAGGCCCCGGGAGCCCACTTAACCCAAGCAGAGGAGCAGCCTGCAGTAGCAGTAAACTACAAGGCATTTCATGCATGCCGTGGAAATGAAAAAAAAAATTCATATCATTAATTCACTGATTTATGCAGCACGGGTGGGTTGATGCTTGTGTCCGTCTACCTTTGCTTGTTTTACTGCTTGAGAGACGGTTATGTAACAACATTTGCTATGAGTTGTAAGTATTAGGTCGAGAAGGGATGTAATACGTTTGCATAATCAGGCATATAGTAGACATTTGTAGTGGTTTGCGCTGTCTGCTACTTGAGGAGGCATGATATGCTCCTTGTAGTATTTAGGATGAGATTCCGTTTTGCTGTATTGTTAGCTGTAACTTAATTTTGATGTTTGCGTGTATTGAATGATATCTGTTAGCCCCTCGTGAAAACTAATTAGCTGCTGGAATCAATGAATTTACCTTGCCCCATTTGGGAGCACGTGGTCAACAATTAGGAACTAATGAGAGAGGAAGTACTATCATTCTCAGTAGAACTATGTTCACCTCAGACCATTTCAGAAGGTTAGGAGTTCTGTGGGGACCAGGGAGCGTGATTATAATCATCAAATTGTAACGGTTTGTCAATCTGCATATAATGCGGTTTCCCATTTGTTTGAATATGGTTCTTTTTAGACGAGCAATGACTGGCATGCTTATTAGAATACATAAGAAATGGTTACATTGCTGGAAAGAAAAACATCAGCATTGATGTTAATGGAATTATTTGTTCTTGGTGGGATAAGAAGCCATCTTGTTAATCCCACAGAGGCCCTCGGGCTTGCCAGTGTTTCGCCTCATACGGATGTATCCCTTCTCTCCCCATTTAGATCCCCATGAATTCTTGACAATTACATAATCCAACCCTTTTGATGTGCCATAGCCAACAGCTGCCACCCCGTGATCTAGTTCACTTCCACAGTGCCCGTCGAAAACTCCCTACATTGCTAAATCGTCAGATTAAAAACATTAAAGGAAGGGGGAGGAATGAGATTGTAGCTAAGCTGTTGCCTTACATACCCCACCGTAAAATTGGAAATCTCTCCCCGAAGCCTCAATGGCCACACTGAGGGGTTGGTTTGCAAGTGCTTTCAATAAGCTCTGTTCATTGTTCTGTGGAACGTCACGGTAACCACTAATGGTGACAACTTGGGATTCGCCCTAAGGAAGCAAAAGATTATGTTGCTGACGAGGTGAGTCATTAGTCTTAACTGTTGGTGGAGAATATTCTTGATATTATCTCAACAAAAAGGAAAAAGAATGAATTTGGTCACCTTGGTCATTTCGCAGGTACCTTCCTCCATTATGTAAGGATAGTCTTCCTCCCTGTGGATTCCCCCATTAGCTACTATAAAGGAGAATGCATAATCCATGAGTCCTCCATTGCAGCCACTGTTGTAAGTCCTGTCGCAATCAATCAATTGCTGCTCCGACAGAGATGTCAAATTCCCTGTCACAATCTGATTTATCCCCTCCACCGCGGCAACGGTTGAAAATGCCCAGCAACTACCTGCAGGTATGAGCGTGCAGTGAGACTAAACCAAGGCATGCAATTGTGTATGTGGTGTAGGCCAACAACCAATCGTGTGTTTAATTACCACATGATCCTTGATTCTTGACATGGGTGACAGCACCTTTCTTTCTCCAATCCACAGATTTTGGCAAATCAACATCCCTGTAAGTGAAATCTTCAGTGGACTCTCTTCTTGGAGAAAACCCAGGCTTGAGCCCAAGGTACTTGCTCTTGAACTCTTGGTGGCTCAAATCAGCGAATTCGTTCAGCCCCAGCCAGTAGTTAATCACGACCTTATTTCTCTCATCAATATGCTTCAAGTTATCTTTGAAAATATCAAATCTGCGTAACTTTTCCTCGATGCTCTCGTAAATCTTGCCATGTTTTGCCATCCATGATTCGAACAGCTCAATCAACTTATCCATGGATTTCAAGTCCTGGGGAGAGTAGCCAATGATGGAAAAATCACGGCCTAAAGCCAGGGACACGCAAAAGCAGATGGAGCAGAGAAAGACGAGTGACTTGGAGAAGGCCATTGCAGGGAATTGGGTAATGGATACGAACAAGAAATAAAGGAGGAGAGGTGTGGAAGAATGGGATGAGGCAGGGGTGGTTTATGTAGGTTATGTTTAGGATGTCGCTTTAAAGAAAAGTTTGTGCGGATTGTTGACACTTTAAGGCAGGTTCTTTGGCCTGCCTTTATATTAAAGCATAATATCATATGGTGTATTTTTTCATTTTTGCCGGAAATATCATATGCTGTATATAACTTACTAGCTGCAGTATATTTTATTTATTATATACCAGTTACATCGTAGTTGGTTTTGCAACTTTTGCTCACATCTCTGGCCATCGCAACGTTCATTTCATTCGCTGCACTAACACCATCCTTTTTCAGTGGTCCATCCAGCTTTTGAATTTGTGTGCATTTTGTTTTCGAATTTCGGGACAGAATGTGGTCTTACAGAGATTGAGTTGTGGTTTTTCTGGGGAAAAAAATTGTAGCTTCCACACGAAATGTTCAAGATCAGAAAAGAAATACTCCTCCGGTCCTTATTATAAGACTCAATTTGACTTTTATTTGGTCCTAATTAAGACCCAATCCATTTCTCTCTTATATTTATGCATTTTTTCCAAGATAATCCTTCTAATAATGATAGTTTTAGCCAATATACTTAATTAACAAAGATATTTAGGATAACAACACTTATTTATTATAAATAACCAACTTAACTTACTTCCTTAATCTCCTCAAATAAGTCAATTGGGTCTTATAATTAGGACGTAGTATAATTGGGAACGGTACTCATCAAATTTAGGCCAGATTTAATTTTTTGCATTTTTTTTTTTTACAAATTTCTTTCAATGGGTGTAGAATTCAGAATGCAAATACTACCTCTCATCGTTAATATAAAATTCATTTGATTAATTTAGAAAGATTAAGAGGGTTATTAGATTATTTAATTATAACATATGTTACAAAATCTCTATAAAATATTTATGTGTACAATCATATTATACATCAATTTATAATAATTTAAAAATAATAATAAATATAAATATTTTAAAGTAATTTAGTAACTTTCTTAATATTTTAAATTAGTCAACTGGATATTAAGCACATGAGCTAATAATTTCTTAACTTTTAATTTTTTTAAAAAAATTATCTAAAAAATCATTTGTTAAAAATTTTAAATTTAAACCATTTTAAAGGAAAATTAATTTTTTGGTCCTTCAATTTTTAACTCATTGATGATATTTTTGTCATTAAAGCATTCAATTAAACTGGGTCCCAAATAATTTGTAGTTTAGGATCACCTAGGTCTTACTTCTAAGGAACAAATTATGGGTTTCTTTATGTAAGAATTTAGGTGATTAAAAATGCAATAAAACGGATCTAAACTAAAAGGCAAAATACTAAATCTAAATGCAACATGCAAATGCCCTAAAATTTATATGAAATAAACGAATGTAAATGCAATTTTTGGGGAGATTTTTTTTTGAAAGAAAGTTAAAATAATAAGTAAAGAAAATTAACAAAGAAAATTAAAAAAAAAAGATGTTTTTTTTCATGTGTAGTGAAGGGAACTTAGAATTCATAAGGAGTTAAATTTCATAACCCAAATCAATTAATTAGACCAAAGATAAGTGACAAGAGACTAAAATTAATAAGTTTAATTACCTACTTGAAACAAAGAAAACTCTAAATTCAAAAACCCTAAACCATTAGAAAACTCATAACTATATAAGGTTGGTTAATTAAACTCATTAAAACCAATGACAAATAATTCAAATTAATTGTTGAAATTATGCTTAGAATTATCCAATTAAACAATTAGATAATTTACCAAATCAATTAAATAATCAAGAGGCAAAAGAACCCAAGTTTGCAATTCAAACCACATTGACAATTAAATTAATAATGAAAACTCAATTATAAATTCAATTGACAATGTAAAAATTCATAAGCATAAATTCTAACAAGTATCTCAATACAAATATAATCCAGATATCAATCCAACCTAAGAATAAAAAAATAACCGTCTAAAACTAAATTGTCTCATGAAAATACAACTCAAAATTATTTAAAACTAAATAATCTCAAGTTCTTGAATTAAAAAGATAAATAGAATATTATTTATTTGTGGTCTTCAAGTGTTAGCCTATAGCTCTAGACTCCTCTATGCTCCTTTCAAGTTGTCTCCCAAAAAACTTAAGCTGCCATGATGAAAAACTTCTTCCCAAGCTCCTTGTATAGCACGATCATGGTGGATAGTGGAAATCATATGAGTGAATTATGTGTGGCGTGAATGATGAGGATAGATGGTGCTGTTGCGCCCATGCCCGTTCAGTAAAAAGAAGGGAATTAATCGAAGATGGATGATGATGGAACATGGTGAGAGTGGTTGCTGTCGAAAGGAAATCAAAGAACGTGACGTTGGTGAGCTGGTGAGTTGGTGAGTCGCATTCATGAGGTTACGGCTGGGGTAAATTTAATTAGAGAAAAAGAATTTTTTTTAAGATCCACAACATAAACTCCTTAACATTTAATTGAGCCACTTAGCATTAGTTATTGGATTATATTTGAATTCCAAAAAATAATATTACATTATTAGATTTTCTAGTCTGCTCTTTTTTATCCTAAAAGAATTTAAGTGTATTTATAAATATAGATTATATTCAAATATGATATAATCCATATCAAAATTAAATATTAGACATGCAACCTAAGATAAGGAAAGAAATTGGAAAACTTTTCAAAAATCAGTCTTTCTAAAAATATGAGAATTGTTTCTAAAGGAATAGGAAATATTAATTTTAAGTTAGAAATAAGAAATCACAAAATATTCATATTTTAAATCTAAAATCTCAATTTTTATAACAAAATCCTAAAATCGATCAATTAATTCAATAATGTATAAAAAATCTATTTAAGTCCAAAATAACATTTAATTCCTAGATTAATATGAGATAAAATATATAAAAATTGAGCTTTATCACTCAAGTATAACTCAATCCTTTAACTATAACTTAATTCCTGAACTTTTAACTTGTCTATAACTTAGGTCATCATTTTTTTTCAATTTTTTATATTTCTATTACTGTGGTCTCCTGCTCATTCTGAGTCATTCCATGTGGCAAGAATGACTCCTAAAATAGCCTCCAACTCAGTTCCATGCATGCAAAGAAGAGGAAGGACAGAGAAAGACGGAGGAAAGGAAGGCAAAAAGAAGTGAACAAGGCCAATCTGATTGGAATGTTGTAAAAAAAAAAAAAAAAAGGGAATAATCTTTAGAAGGGAGAGTGGAAGCTGAAAAATGGGAAAGTTGAAAAAGGAGGTGTGTTGAGGTAGCAAGGAAGGGGGTGAAGGAAAAGAAGGGGCAAAGGGGAAGAGCATGCGGACCAGCACAAAAGGGGGTTTGATTCCTTCACACACAGCCTGGAGAACGCGCGTTTTGAAGGAAGGAGGCTGTTGTTTTTATTGGTTGGATATATAATCAAAAAGCAAATGAGAGAAGGGAGTCATGCCCGCATTCAACTGTAAAACAATGCCCGCTTGAATCTTCCCACAGCCCTTTTTTTTTCCCCCTCGGGTTTCATTCATTCCCTATTACTCACCTCCAATCTCGTATGCATTTGCATCCAACCTCAACAACTCAGATCCGTCGCCTGGGGTTGGTCGCCTCTTTTTCTGGGCCTCTGCAACTTTCATTTTTCCATATCTTCTTCAACGTGGAGCTGAATAGGAGGCTATTTTAAAACTTATTCTTGCCACATAAGAGGACTCAAAATGAGCTGGAGACTACAAGAATAGAAATATCAAAAAAAATAAAAGGATAAAAGACTAAATTATAAATAAGTCAAAATTATAATTAAAAAACTGTGTTATAAATCAAAAGTTGAAGAACCAAAAAATTAATTTTTTAAAAAATATATTTGGATGGTATAGATTTCACCGTAGTAAACAAGCACCAAAACTGATTTCGTATAATTGAAGGCAAAATTTGACGTGATTAAATTTAATTACAAAGATAGAATTTGAAACGTAAAGTTGAACCAATAAAGTTTTACCCACAATAAAAAAATACAATGATACGTATATTGTGTGTAATATACGAATTGCAAGCTTAGATTTAGAGTAATGGGGCACTTGCTAAAATCATTACCAACCTTAAGAAACTGGAAATACACTTTGTAAAGGATTAATTGAAACTTGAAACTTAAAGCTCAGAGGGCGAAATGCTACCTTTAACTGTAATACATTAGGGCGAAATGCTACCTTTAACTGTAATACATTATTTCCTGATGGAGTTAATAAAATTTATTTTTTTCCTTAGTTTTTATAAATAAAATCGGATAAGTATTACGCCTTTCACAAGTACTCCTCGTAATTTTATCTAATTGCCAATACATTGTTATACATATTTATCTCAATATCATTTTCATTGTTATGCTCCATTCCTCTCTTAGTATTGCTTCTAATTTTCAAATTTTTTTAATCCCTAAATATAAGTTTCCATACAAATTTTTAGATGTCATAGTACGCTTCTTTCAAAAAAAAATAATACCTATTCCACTCTTAATATTAAAAAAAATGCAATCTTCTTATGGTGACGTTATTTTATCATAGCAGCTGGATCTAGTGATTGAAATTGTAATATTGAACGCCTGTAATGGACCAACATCTTTTATTAGGACTGGAGAAAGAAGTTGAGAGTTGTTGGAAGCTTGCCGTTGGGATCAATCAAAAATTCAAGGATACCTGGGTGGTGCGCTTAAGATTAAAATAATAAATGTAGAATAATAAATGAAAAATGATAAGGAGGAAGTGGGCTATCAACTTATGGTGCACAGGATTGGCATATGAAAGCACAATGTTTTTGGTGCTCGAAAGTCGAAATTCAATCAGTGTAGTGGTCAGGCGTGGAGCCAGTAGGCGGGATTTTGCTAGCCAACCAAGGTGTAAGCTACTCCAATCTGTGTCATTTTAACCCGTTCTATTGCGGGCTAGCCTGCTTTTTTCTTCTTTTTTTTTACATTTTCATTAAATTTCTAGGTGAAACAAGGGTATCCTTAGGTCACACTGGACTTGAAATTAATCCCTTTAGAGCCTAGAGCGGTTAAAGAATAGCCTCCCAACAAGTGCGCTTTCTG